CAGACATACACACACCCACATACACACATACACACACATATACACATATACACAAATATAACAACAACCGCCATTCGCCACGAAGTGGCAGTGACGTCACCACGACGCTTGTGCCAGGCTAGGTGCACCTTGAGGCCACGTGAAGTGTCGAACACCCGCTGGCAGGAGGTCACGGGGCAGAATCCAGGTGCCACGGGTCGACTGACTGAGATGACCGAGATGACTGGCTGATGCACCACCTGTGCCCCCTACTGTGCCAACTTGCTGTGCTTTAGCCACCCGGTGCTCGTTGTTGTGAGCGTCGCTCCTCCGCCCTACGTTGTTGTTGGAGGGCGACTGCCTCCAACTGCCCAGTAGCGTCCTTCACGAGCCTCCTCCACAGAGGCCGATCTTGACACCGCTGGTACCAGTTATCGGCAAGTCCACTCAGCTCCACGTCCTCCTGTACCACATCACTCCATCTCTTCTCTAGCCCGTGCCGCGCCCGTTTAGCCCTCTCGATCCGGCCGAACAAAAGATGTTTAGGCATCCGGTGGCTGGGCATGCGGGCTACATGACCCAGCCAACGCAGCCTTGCCTGCCGGAGGAGCTCACCGATGTGACTTTGCCCAGATCTTTCAAGGATTTGTGAGCTCCTCACACAATCCAGCCTGGTTAAACCCAGGATGGATCGTAGGCAGGCCAGCCTAAATGTTTCTAACCGGCGAAGATGTTCCATTAGGGGGTCCACGTTTCGCAAGCATAGAGAAGGGAGGGAATGACTGTGGCCGAGAAGACCTGAAGCTTCGTGCGGAGCGACAGACCAGGTAGCTTCCAAACAGCGTTACGCAACCGATGAAAAGATATTGCCGCTCGACTGATCCGGAGTGAGACCTCTGCTGTTAAACTGGAGCCGGTCATAAGCACACTGCCCAGGTATGGGAATCTCTCCACTCTCTCCACTACTGCCCCATCGCCGATTGTGAGTTGTGGGGTGGAGTGTCCGATGGTACAAAATACCCAGGCAGGTGCTTAGTTTCGGTGGGGCTGATGGTAAGGCCCCACCTCTTAGTGGCACGCTCCAGTCTCAGCAGCAGCATCTCCAACTCCTCCTCTGAATGAGCAGCTATTACCAAATCATCGGCATACATAACGTGGTTGACCAATAGGGAGCCATCCCTTGATCGCACCCGGGCATCGATCAGCCTCTCATTATATCTGTACCAAATGGAAATTCCCCCGGTACAGCTATTGAAGGCTTCACGAACTACGCGGTCAAAATAGATGTTAAATAATGTGGGAGCCAGAGGACATCCCTGTCGCACCCCAAGGTGTACAGGGAAAGGCTCTGACTCCCGGCCACGTAGTTTTACCCGGGCCCGCTCACCATCATGAAGGTCCTTAATGATCGTGAGCAGAGGGTCAGGGACTCCGAAAGCACGAAGAACAACCCAAAGCCCAGGCCTACTGATGGTATCATAGGCCTTGACCAGGTCAATAAAACACAGTGACACACACAGTGTCACACGCAGTGAGACAAAGACCCCCCGCTACTTCTATTTGACGACTCACACACACTGGTGTTGGCTGCGAGCTGCAGTGACCGAGCGGGTTTGCTGTGGGCCGTGAAGCACAGGGACACAGGTTCGCGTCCAGTCAAGTTTCTCTTTATCGTGTTCATTGTTTTTTTTTTATGTAGCTTAGGCAACGATTTGCAATGGACATCATTACAAGTATCCACTTTATTACATATATATTAATATAACACAAATAAAAACGTTAACATGTCAATGTTCAAATCGATGGCTACTCAATAAATAGAAGTTTCTCAAGTAAGTTTACTCTTGTGTAGTGTAGTGGTAATGTTTGCAGCCTTCCAACACAATCAACCCGGGTTCGAATCCCGCTCTCAAATAGTATTTTTTTGTCTTTGTTTATTTATTTATTCTTCAGCTTGTCTGATGACGTCACCACGCACATCTAATTTGCAGGGCAATCCCGTGCGTGAAGTAACATCACTTGGGGCACCTCCGGGGCCAGAATCTGCGTGGGAGCCGCGGTGGCTCAGCCGTGCTGGGCGAGGGACCGGCGACTTGGAGCTGCCGAGTTCGAATCTCGCCCTTGGCGGCGGAGAGACGAATAAATCCGCTCTCCCGTGAAGCAAACGGCGCAACACAAGACCCTTCATCAGGCAACTTGGTGAGTGGTTTACACGGCGCAGTTGTTCTATGTGGATGTATTAACATGCAATGTCGTGTCTCTGTTGTGCATATGCCGGGCTTGGCTGCAGTGGCTGATGGAGGAGGGCCACACTGGAGCGTCAGCGACACCTGCAGGCCACGAAGAGCTGAGGCCTGCAGGAGAGGAGAGGGGTGGGGACAGAGGGAGGAAGTGGATTTTATTTTTGTGATGCACATCAACATTTGTCCACCAGGGGCGCTGTTCCTCCACCACCAGGGGGCGCTGTAGCGCCTAGGGGGCGCTGTCCCATTACATTTTGCCTTGAAAACGCTCATTTTGAAGCAATTCAACGTTTCACCAACACTTTCGGCCGGCGAGTCGCGGTTTTACGCGGAATCGCCGAGAAACCAGTCGAGGTTCGAAAGACGACCATGGATAGCGACCCTGAAGACGCGGCAACCACGAATACTGCAGACTGACACGATTCATTTAACATTTACAGTTGTGATCCTATTAATGTAATCCTGTACAAATTAATGTAATCCTGTAAAAAATAATAATGTAATCCTGTACAAATTTATGTAATCCTGTACAAATTAATATAATCCTGTACAAAGAAAATTCCTGTCCAGCTGAATCACCCGAGACTGTTCACTTACGAGCACGAGGCGAACGACTTGGTTCACCGATGATGGGGAGTGTTTAACGCGAGAGCCCCCTGGTCCCTGGGTCCAAGTGCAAGGTCCTGGGCTCAGGCGCAGGGTCATCGGGTCCAGGTGCCGAGTCCTGGGTCCAGTCGGAGTACACACACAGATACACATACATACACACAGACATACATACATACATGCACACACAGACACACACAGACATACATACATACACGCATGCACACACACGCACACCGCTGTCCCTCCCTGTGGCATTGGATGTGCATGATGCATCGGCTCGCACACGGCCGACTCCGCTGCTCTGTCGACAAAAGAGGTCGAGGAGGCCGAGTGAGAAATTCGTGGCCACCCTCAGGGACACAGGCCGCCATGCGCAGCTACGTGGCGCTGACGTCACGGCGCTTGTGCCAGGCTAGGTGCGTTTTGAGCCACGTGAAGTGTCGAGGGCTTGCTGCTGGCAGGGGGTCGCGGGGAAGACCCAGGTGCCGTGGCTTGGCCGACACGACTGGCAGATGCACTACCACCTGTGCTCCCTACTGCGCCACCTGGCTGCGTTTTAATCCGCACGGCGCTCCGCTCGTTGTTGTGAGCGTCGCTCCTCCGCCCTCCGTTGTTGTTGTTGGAGAGCGACTGCCTCCAAACGCCCAGTAGCCTCAAAGTGCACCTCGCCTGGCACTGCCTAGTAGTGTCCTTCACGAGCCTCCTCCACAGCTCCTGACTGATACAAGTCCACTGAACTCCACATCCTGCAATTCCCTCCTGTCAGCGAGCCCAGCCGTCGTGAGGGCGTGCACGTGGCACCACAGTGGACACTGGGCACGGTGGACGCTGTGGTGGTCAATGATAGCAATTCCCACCACCGGACCTAACCGACCAACTCCCCCCCCCCTCCCACCTCGGCTCATGGGCTCCTCCATCTCCACGGCGGAGGTCCCCTCGGGAGGACCGCGGCGATGTTTGCGGATTCCAGACGCGGCGCCACGCGGCGTGGCACGACACCGCCCCCTGGCGGCAGAGCGCCGCCGTTACACGAGGCTGGCACCACACAACCAGCAACACAACTCGGTGACGTTGAAGCAACGTTAGAATGACGTCTGCCCGTGGTGCGCACCCTCTCACAATTCTGGGAAAAAAACATCTGGCGGAACGAGACACGGCCTGGACCGGTTTCGGCTGAGCCTCATCGTCTAGCTCCTGTAATCGCTGGTGATTTGACATCTCGATTCGGTTGAGAGAGACTTGGTGTGACCTGCATGGCACCTGCCTGGGTCTCTCCCGTGACCTCCTGTCAGCGAGCCCGCGGCGTGTCACGTGGCCTCAAGGGAGGTGCACCTGCGATGAGCAACGTGCACACCAAGTCACCTAGCCTGGCACGAGCGCCGTTGTGACGACATCTACACTTAGTGGTGAGCGGCGATTGTTGTATTTGTGCCCGTATGTACGTGTGCCTGTATGTACGTGTGCCTGTGTGTGTGCCTGTGTGTGTCTATTTGTATGTTTTCCTGTGTGTGTGTCCCTGTATGTACGTGTGCCTGTGTGTGTGCCTGTGTGTGTCTATTTGTATGTTTTCCTGTGTGTGTGTCCCTGTATGTACGTGTGCCTGTGTGTGTGGAAATTTTAACCGCGCGTTTATGCAGGAAACGTGAATCTGCATCAACACACAAACTTGACCTGGCAGTGAACTATGCAGGGGCCCCGTGCAGTGCTCGGGTCAGCGGCTCGCAGTCGGGAGCTTGCAAGTTCAAATCCTGGTTGGGGTTCGACTCGGCTCCTTCATCGCTCTGTACAACTTTGTGGGGAAAGTTTAACCCTGGTTACCCTTTGAATGGACTCGCCCCTGCCATAGCAATGTGGGGTTTCCAACACTGGCTCAGGTTGTGAACAGGAAACAATGCTGGAATTTACTCTGGACTTGTGATCCGGCTGCGCCGAGGCGGCCAGAGGTTGGCAGTACAGCAAATCGGTTCGCGAACCGATCCCTCGTACACGCTGTGGGGTTTCTCGGGGTTCTGCGGTCCCCTCCCCCTGGCCCAGGCCCCGTTATCGGAGCCACCAGCGCTGCCCACTTCCTCCAGGGCGTCGCTGCGCAGGGCGCGGGTTGAGGAACCCCGGGCATGGCGTGCGGAACGGGGCCCCTCGGTAGTTTCCGCTTCGCCTCGCTTGCCGGCGCGAGTCTCACGCTGCCACACAGCGGGATCGGCTCAGAGAGGGGATCGGCTCAGAGAGGGGATCGGCTCAGAGAGGGGATCGGCTCAGAGAGGGGATCGGCTCAGAGGTGCTGACGGCGTAGAGGAGTCGCCCTGGTGCCCGATCAGCCTGGAGACGGATCGGTTGAGTGAGAGGGGTCGATGTGGAGGCGGGTCAAGCAGCCGAGCGAGTGAGTGACCAGCCACGGGGAGACTCGGCTCAGAAGGTGACCGACGCAGACGGACGGGGATCAAAGCCGAGGCCGCGATGTTTGAGACGGAGGAGGCGGGGGAGGAGGAGACGGGAGACGTGGCCGATGCAGGGGGTCCGGACGAGAAGGGGGGCCGCTCCGAGGACGCAGGAGGACTCGGCGGGGGCCCCGGGGACTCGGGCGAGGAGGAGGAGGGCGGCCGGTGGAGGGACGCCGACGACCCCGGCCTCGCCGTGCAGCTGCGCCCCGAGTCCAAGCGGCGGCGGGGCAAGGGCGGCTCCCGGAGCCCCGTGCGGGACGAGGGCCCCTGGCGGGCCCTGCTGGGGGGCTCCTCGGGCGGCGTGAGGAGGGCGCTGGTCGTGGAGTTCGTGCTGCCCACGCCGCGGGCGCGCTCGCGGGAGGCCGAGCGCGTGCTGGTGGCCGTGCCGCTCTGCGTCACCGTGGAGCGCATGCGGGCCCTGGTGTGGGCGCGGGCGCGGCTCGAGAGCGAGCACCCGCGCGTCTACCAGCGCTGCAGCGCCGACGCCTACTCCTTCCTCTATCGCAGCAGCAGCGGCGGCAGCAGCAGCAGCAGCGGCCACCGCGGGGCCCACGGCGAGGAGGGTCACGACGACGACAGCGGCGGCACGTGGTTCGAGATATTCGACCCTCAGCAGCTGGTGCACAGCCTCCACTGCTTCATCCGCTGGATGGAGGAAGAGGAGGACGAGAAGAAGCGGAAGGTGGCGATGGAGAAGGATGGAGAGCAGGGCGTGGGGGAGCAAGACGCGTGGTCTCCGGGCTCCAGGAGGATCCACGTGCTCGAGCGGGCCGCGCTCCAGGTGGAGGAGAGCCCTCAGCTGCGCCGCGAGCTGGACGAGCTGGTGGGGGTGGAGCTGTCCCAGATGGACGGAGGCCCAGACGAGGAGGTGTTCTCCACGCGCAGGAAGCTCGACGCCCTGCGCCGCACGGAGGTGCGCGACCGCGACCCCCTGCACTACGCGCTCGACCCGCGGGTGGTCACCTGCGCCATGCCCGGCTTCCTGCCGCTGCGAGCGCCCGGCGGCGGCGGTGAGATCTTCGTGACGCTGCACCACGGCGCCTGCAGCCAGAAGATGAAGGTCGGCCTGGACGCGCCGCCACAGCAGATCCTGGCCGCCTTCTTGCGCAACGTGGCCAGGAAGGGAGACCTCTTCAGCCTGCCCGAGGGAGGCGGCCTGGCGCTCAAGGTGTGCGGCAGGGAGGAGTACCTGGTGGGCGACGGGGTCCCGCTGCGCGACTTCCACTGCATCCGCAGCAGCCTGCGCACGCCGGGAACGGACATCCACCTCGCCGTGGTGGAGCTGCCAGACGTGGAGGAGGACGCGGTGGAGGCCGAGTCGTGGCCCCTGGTGGACGAGGGCACGGGCCAGACGGGCACCCACGAGCAGCTCTCGCTGGACCACAACGACCACGAGCACGCGCTGGCCATGTCGCTGTGGGACTGCGCCAGGAGGTTCCGCGTGAAGGTCGTGGGGGTCGAGATGCCCGCGCGACCCCGCGACGCGGACGACCTGGACGTCTTCGTGGAGATCCGCATCTACCACGGCCAGGAGGTGCTCTCGGCCGCCAGCACCCAGCCAAAGCCGCTGGCCGACGACGAGGTGCTGTGGAACCAGCGCCTGGAGTTCGACATCAGAGTGAGGGACCTCCCGCGAGAGGCGAGGCTGTCCATCTCTCTCCACGGGGTCAAGTCCAGCTCCCAGCAGCGTGGCGGCGGCGGCGGCGCGCCGGACGCTCCCTCCATCTCGGCGCCCTCCTCCTCCTCGTCGTCGTCGTCGTCGTCCGCAGTGGGGGAGCCACGCGCCAAGAGCGCTCGGCTGATGTTCTACGTGAACCTGCAGCTGATCGACCACCGCTCTCTGCTGCGGCAGGGGGAGCAGCTGCTGCACATGTGGAGGCACCCGGAGCGCGGCGAGGACATGGCCACCATCGAGGCGGACAAACTCTCGTCGGAGCAGAACCCCGAGCGAGACACCGCGGCCGTGGTGTGCTTCCTGCTCGACTCGTACGCGTTCCACGTGGCGCTGCCCCGGGGCAGGGCCGAGAACGGGGAAGGCGACAACGGCTGCTGCCCCGAGTCGGTGCTGCCCCCGGGCAGCGCGGAGTGGCAGCGCTTCGAGAATCTGGTGAACGCGGAGCCGCTGGGAGCGCTGAGCGCAGAGGACCGCGCGCTGATGTGGAGGCACCGCGCGCTCTGCGCCACCACGCGGCCCCACGGCCTCCCCAAGCTGCTGCGCTCCGTGCGCTGGAGTCGCGCCGAGGCCGTGCAGGTGCGGCGGGCGCAGCTACGGCCCGGGGGGGGGGGCATGGTCGGGGTGATGGGAGGGGGTGCAGAGCCATCCCGAGGGTACGGGGGATCGGGGCAACTGCCCCGGGCCCTGCGCTTTGGTGGGGGGGGGGGGCACTCTTTGGCGTCGGGACCCCACGCAGTGGCATTTACCCCGGGCACCACCACACCCCGCTATGGACCGCCCTGAGGAGGGGGCATTGCCACGGGGCATTGATGGGGGAAGTGACAGGGACATGCACGTGACTTGCTGCTTCATTCAGCTGCCGCATTATCTGCAAAAACCGGTTCTTCTCATAACGCAGCTCCATCCCGTAATGCGGGCGTGAGTGAAATCCAGGTCGTCCCCAGGTGGTTGTGGTGCTGCCGATGCTTCCCCAATTGTAATCTTAAATAGTTGCTGTAATCATCTTGGCCGATCCAGGTGGATGGGGTGGAGGCAACGCCGCCCCCCCCCCCCCCACTTTCCCCCAGGAGACGCCAAACATGTGGGGGGGAGGGGTTTAACTGCATTTACTGGAGAAACTACATTGAATGTTTTCGTAGTATTATTAATTTCTACTATCTCCCCACCCCCCACCCCCCTTGGGCAGTACCTGGATCCTCTCTCTCCGCACAGCCAACACTCGGAGAGTCAACACTGGCCCTGGGCTCGCAGCTGACGACAAATATTGAGGGGGGGGTGTCCGTGGGTGATGTCAGGAACCAAATGTGTCCCGGCTAAAAGCAAATAATCTGCACTCGTGATATTGGATATGGGGCGGGGTTACCCAATCAGTGGGTGGGGTTAGCACAGGAGTAGGCGGGGTCTATGGGTAATGGGTGTGGCTTAATCGGAGGGAGGGGCTGACAAATCGCCGTGACGTGTATCTTAGTTGAACCTCTCAGATATCTGGTAGTCCTAATCTAAATACTGTTAACTATTTTGTTTGCCAGGTAAAGTCCACTGAGCTCTCAGCTCTATTTTAGAGGTGACCTGGCCACACGTGATGATAGCTCGTGGAAGTGACTGACATCACCACACGTGGGGATTTAGAGGAGTCACAAAATCGTCTCGACGCGTGGTTGTTTCTAAATGTGGAGGACAAAACCGAAGGAACGCGGAGAACAATCCACGCCACCGCCGAGATAAAAAAAAAAACGCGCGAACTACGAATAGTTAACGACCCACGGCCTCCTGCACAGCAGGCGAGGGGATAACGTCTCCTCGCCACCAGGGCGCCCTAAGCAGACACCTTAAACCCTGAGCATCCCCTCATCATTGTTTTGTCAGTCTGTAGAAGTAATACCGAATTAATTATTATCTCAAATATTTATGAAATGCCCAACTCCACCACGACCACCCCACCCCCACGCGTGTCCCCGCTGAGCCCGGGCGCGTCTCCCTCCGTGCCGCGCAGGAGGCGCACCGCGTGCTGCGGCAGTGCGACCCGGCGCGCCTCGGACTCGACGTCGCTCTGCAGCTGCTCGACTGCCACTTCGCGGACGCGAAGGCGCGGAGCCTCGCCGTGCGCCGACTCGAGCTCCTGGGAGACGACCACGTGCAGAGATACCTGCTGCAGCTCGTGCAGGTGAGGGCGTCACGCTTATCCTGGGGGGAGGGAGGGGCGGTGAGGTGTCAAGCATGTGGAGGGCCATGTGCACTCACCTGGGGATGATGATAATTCCTGCAGCTGCTCGTGGTGATGCTGATGATGCCATAGCTGCTATAGTTACGATGATGATGCTATTGCTGTAGCTGCTATCGTGATAATGCTATAGCTGCAACTGCTATAGGAATGCTGCTGCTATAGCTGCTGCTGACGATGTTGACGATGTGCGTGGCTACAGGCATTGAAGTTCGAGCCCTATCACGACAGCGACCTGGCGCGCTTCCTCATCCGCCGTGGACTCAGGGTGAGACCTTCCACATCTGACGAGACTTCCACCACCATCATCATCCATCTGTAATGCGGGCGTAAATGGGCGGGGCGGATATGACGATCCGAGAGGGAGGAGTCAGGGTGACGTGGGGGAGAAGTTATAGCGGGGAGACAGGAAGCTATCTGGGTCAGTCGGGGGAGTGAAGGGTGGTGAACACGTTGGGTGGTCGCCGTGCCTCAGCCTGGTGGCTGAGGGGCTCATGACGGCGCCAGCCAGCGGGGTGGAAGAGAGAGTGGAGGATTGAGGTAGGAAGTGGCGAGATAGCCACGCACGGAGGAACAGGGAGCAGCGATGGAGCTGCTGGGGGAGCAGCCAGAGGGCTGTACCAAGAGCCTGCAGCGGAGCTGCAGGAGCGTGGAAGGCTACGGGAGCGAAGGCAGATGTGGGGCTGCCAGGGAGAGAGTCTCAGGAGGAGTGCCGTGTGGGAAGGAGAACGCGAACCCCAAATAAAGGACACGGAGTCAGCAAGAAGTGTCTGAGTCCTTTTATTACACTGGAGTCAGAAGTGAAACGGCATCTCAAAACAACTGAGAGAAAGAAGAAAAAAAATATTCCTGCTACATCATCCGACGACGACGACCTTCCTCAGACAGTGGACCTGCCTGCGATGGAAGAGGAGATCCGTTCTGGAACGAGTACGGGTCCGGGTGAGCAAGGTGTCGCCGCGTCGGTGGACCTGTCTGTGCCGGAGGATGCCAACTTACGATGGAGACAGATGGTGATGCAGATGGGGACCTTGAAAATCGTGCTGGCGCAACTGTGTGAGTTCACCACGCCGAGGACGACGTCGGGGAGGCCCGGTGGTGATCCGCAGGCCTCTGCCTTTCCTGCGCTGCCAGCGCCATTGCCACGTGGCACGAAGACGCCATCTTGGGCGTGGCAGGGGAGAAACGGCGGGAAGCCGCCATCTTGTCTTCACCGCGGCGGGAGGACGCCGCCATCTTCAACATCGCGGCGGAGAGGCAGCCTTGCGCTGCCATCTGGAGGTGCCGCGGGGTGAGCAGCCTGCTGTGAGCTGCTGTTTTTCGAGGGGGTGCTGCGAGGAGAAGACGCCGATGCTGCAGCTGCTGGGGCGGGAGCTTCCCGTCCTGGCTCGGATTCTTCAGCTCCCGTCGCACTGGGTGTTACCTGGTGTGCTAGCTGGATGAGGACTTGAAGGAGCAATTGAGCGCCGTTCGTCGTTCTGCTCTACCACTTGCTCTTTGACGTTGGACTTGAGCCGAGCGGATGGAACTGCAACATGGACACGCACTAAAACATCACATTTCTGGGTTGTGCGCGTTGGCCGTTCTTGCGTGTCAGTTGCCGTTTTTGTTCATTGTGCCATTCTTATTCTTGTTGATGTTGCGCGGAGGACAGGCCGGTGTTCTGTTCCAGTTCCTGATACCTCCCCTTTCGTTGCTTGTGTTGTTGTTGTTATAATCTCCGTTGTGTCTGGGGGACTCCTGATTGTGATGCCTTCGCCCGCATTATTTTGTTCTGTTTCAGCCGAGGACGGCTGGGATTTTCTCTACGGGGGAGGGTAGTGTAATGCGGGCGTAAATGGGCGGGGCGGATATGACGATCCGAGAGGGAGGAGTCAGGGTGACGTGGGGGAGAAGTTATAGCGGGGAGACAGGAAGCTATCTGGGTCAGTCGGGGGAGTGAAGGGTGGTGAACACGTTGGGTGGTCGCCGTGCCTCAGCCTGGTGGCTGAGGGGCTCATGACGGCGCCAGCCAGCGGGGTGGAAGAGAGAGTGGAGGATTGAGGTAGGAAGTGGCGAGATAGCCACGCACGGAGGAACAGGGAGCAGCGATGGAGCTGCTGGGGGAGCAGCCAGAGGGCTGTACCAAGAGCCTGCAGCGGAGCTGCAGGAGCGTGGAAGGCTACGGGAGCGAAGGCAGATGTGGGGCTGCCAGGGAGAGAGTCTCAGGAGGAGTGCCGTGTGGGAAGGAGAACGCGAACCCCAAATAAAGGACACGGAGTCAGCAAGAAGTGTCTGAGTCCTTTTATTACACATCTACCATTACCCATGCCTCCCTGTCCCTCCATCCTCCTGTCCCTGCAGCGATGTCCCCATGTCTTTGTGTCCAGTGAAGAGTTGACCACCCAGTTTCCGTGTCCCCTTGTCAACATGTCCCGGCGCCTTGGTGGCTCGCTGTCTCCCCGTCCAGCGCAGAGTCGCTTGACCACCTTGTGTTGTCGATCTCCCCGTGTCCCCGCGGGCAGAGCAAGCGCGTGGGCCACTTCGTGTTCTGGTTCGCGAGGGGCGAGTGCGCCTCCTCTCCGCGCTTCTCTCGCCGCTTCTCGCTGCTGCTGGAGGCGCTGGTGCGGGGCGCCGGGCGCGCGGCGCGGCGCCAGCTGCAGGCGCAGCTGCGCGTCGTCAGCGTCATGCGCGACCTCGCCGTGGAGGTCAAGAGACTCGTGCCGGACCGCACGGACATCCCGCCCAGCGGTAAGGGAAACGGCGGGGGGGGGGGGGGGACAAACACCGGGGGAGACGGCGAGACTCGGGAGGCACGTGGACATCCAGCCCGGTGAATAGACGCATGGGGGAGACACTGGCAGGTGGGGAAAGACCGAAGGAGACCCACCGGGACATCCCGTCCAGCGGCGAGAGACCAAAATGAGCACGCAGGCACAGAGGCAATGTGATACAGATGCCGTGTGACAAGGACCCAGGGAGAAAAGGGACATGTAGAGAGACCCAGAGATGGTGCTACATGGATGCCCGTAACACAGACCACCTCGTGTCCCTGTCTCCTCCGTGCAGCCACGGCCTTCGTGAAGGAGCGGCTGCAGAGGGCCGAGCTTCCGCCCACGTTCCGCGTGCCCTACGACCCCACGCTCATCGCGGGCTCCATCCAGGTCTCCCAGAGCCACACCAAACCGCGTCCCCACGGCCACTGGGAAGCCGGCCGGCCATCCCGGCATGGAAGACACTTTAATTACTCATCCACATTTTGCTGCTCGTGGGTGGAGGTGGACTGGACGGAGTTGACCCCCCCCCCTCCCTCCGCATGTCGGTGTTGGAACAGGTGGACAAGTGCAAGATCATGGCGTCCAAGAAGAAGCCGCTGTGGCTGGAGTTTAGCAGCGGCGACCCGACGTGGCGCGGGGACTCGTCCATCGCGATCATCTTCAAGCACGGGGATGACCTCCGCCAGGACATGCTCATCCTGCAGGTGCTAGTCTCATCCTGAGGTCTCAGATGTATCCTACAGGTTCCATAATCAGCCTATAGGTCCCAGACTCATTTTGAAGGTCTCTGTGTCATCCTGGATATCCTTGACTCATTTAACACTTTCCCGGTCCGATGACGTACTTGTGCGTACGTGTGCGTACGTGTATGTCTTCAGTTCTTCTTCTGATACCCCCCTCCCTTTCAATTATAAACTCCCCAGTGAGATGATAAAAGAGATTGGGCAGACGAGAAATAGGGATGTTGTCAGTTGAGAGACATGTACACCGAGCAGTGAGAAGAGAGATGTCGGTGAGGCGGAGACGTAGTGAAGTGAGAGAGATGAAGACAAGAGAACAGGGGTGGAGTCAATTTTAGAGAAGACGATATATTAATTGTATGTTATGTTAATTAGGATCTGAAGTCGAAATGACATCTGGCTTATCTTTCTATGTTTCCAATAATCCAGGGCCCCCCTTGAGCCGCTTGGGGCCGTGAGCTTTTGCTTGGAGTGCTCGTGTTCAGCGCCACCACTTCACTCCACCACCTCTCACCCAGCCGTGTGCTCTCTCTCCGTGAGCCGCTGTCAACCGGCATCACCCATCACCGCTGGGACACCCACCGTCATCATCACCCCCACCGCCGGAATAATAATGATCCTCTTCATCCCCGCCACGATCATCACCACTGCCACTGTTGTGACGTCGCTTGTGTCTGGATCACCCGAACAGATCCTGGTGATCATGGAGTCGATTTGGGAGAGCGAGTCTCTGGATTTGGGCCTCCTGCCTTACGGCTGCATCTCTACCGGAGACAAGATCGGTGGGTCTCGGGTGACGGCAGCATCACACGCTGGCACCACCACCACCACTACAACCACCACTGCCATTATCACAACACCGGCATGACCACGACCACCACCACTACCACCGCAGAAACCACCACCATCACCTCTGCTACCATAACCACTGTCACAACCGTGACTTCACTACAATCGCCATCTTACCTCGGCACAACCGCCACCACCACCTTCATGCTCACCACCACCTTCATGCTCACCACCACCTTCATGCTCACCACCACCTTCATGCTCACCACCACCTCCATGCTCACCACCACCTCCATGCTCACCACCACCTCCATGCTCACCACCACCTCCATGCTCACCACCACCTTCATGCTCACCACCACCTCCATGCTCACCACCACCTTCATGCTCACCACCACCTTCATGCTCACCACCACCTCCATGCTCACCACCACCTTCATGCTCACCACCGCTGTTGCGCGCGAGCGGCAGGGATGATTGAGGTGGTGCGCGATGCCACGACCATCGCCCAGATCCAGCAGAGCCGCGTGGGCAACACGGGCGCCTTTCGCGACGAGCTGCTGCACCAGTGGCTACGTGACAAGTGCCCCATCGAGGCCAAGGTGAGCACCGCAGCCTGCGCACAGCCTGAAGGTCTCCACGTGAGCCTGTAGGTCTCTACGTGAGTGTGTGGGTCTCTACGTGAGTCGCTGGGGTGGTTCTCTGCGAGTCCATGCTTCTCTACGTCAATCCAGGAATTCAGGGCCTAGTTTCTCACTGGCATTGTTGCGGCCCGCCAGTACACGCAGGCGCTGGAGCGGTTCGTGCAGTCGTGCGCCGGCTACTGCGTGGCCACGTACGTCCTGGGCATCGGGGACCGGCACAACGACAACATCATGATCCGCGAGAATGGTGCGCGCTCCACGCCTCTTGCGCTCCGCTCAGGAATTTCTTCACACCGTCATCGACCGTCGTCTCTTACAGCGCGATGAGCTCTCCGTCTGTTGCTGGTCGGTTGGAGTTTTGGGACCTTTCGGGCCTGTGCTAAACAACCCTGGTTTAAAGATAAAATGAAACACACTCACACACGCGTGCGCGGTGAAAACCCTGTCGATCCCTCGCCCGCCCGGATCGTCTGCACGCGTGCAGGAAACCTGTTCCACATCGACTTTGGCCACATCCTGGGCAACACCAAGAGCTTCCTGGGCATCAGCCGCGAGCGCGTGCCCTTCGTGCTCACGCCGGACATGCTTACGTGATGGGCGTCACCGGCAAGCGCAGCAGCGCCTACTTCTGCAGGTTCCAGGTGCGCTCCGCACGGCGCCCGGCGCAGCGGATGAAATACCCCCCGCCCCATCTCCCCCCCCCTCCTTCCTTGTCCAATTTCTGTCCTCTTCAGAGCCCGGCACCGACACCACTACCCCTGCCCCCCCCCTGCACGCCGATTCGTCGTGTCTGGTCCAGTTGCACTGCCTACACACTCGATAGCTGTGCCACTGGGTTCTGTTCTTACGAGTGTCCACGTAAGTACATGGGTCCTATGCTAGTCAAGGTTCTGTGTTAGTCTACGAGTCCTCAGCTCGTCTACATTTCCTATGTTAGTCTATGGCTCTCTACGCAAGGTCATAGGGTATCTATTGAAGTACAGAATATGGGTTCCTGTGTAAATCTATAGGCGCTACTTTGGCCATTGGGTCAATGGGCCGCTGTGTTAGTCTGGATCTGAGCGATCTCCAGTTCTTGGAATCACCTCTGGTGCAAGGAAGAATTCAATGTCCCAAATCCATCCCATATTTCTTATTCTTCATGTTTTGTGGGACTGGTGCAGGACACGTGCGCCAGCGCCTACCTGGCTCTGCGCCGCCACACCAACCTGCTGCTCACGCTGCTCTCCATGATGGCGCTGACCGGCATGCCGGAGCTGAGCTGCCGGCAGGACGCCCACTACGTGCGGGAGGCGCTGACGGCCGGCAGGCCGGGCCACGAGGCCCAGCGGCATTTCCTCGATCAGGTGACGCGTCGTCCGCGCCGTCCGCGCCGCCGTCGCGGAACGCCGCAAGCTGCGACGGACGGCAAACGTGTAGATTCTCTCTTGCCCACTGCTGCGTTCTCACTCAAAGCCCCCGCTGAACTCTTACCGAGTCAGAAGTTCGGAAGTTCATTTCCCGAGTGAGACCCTCTGAGCTACAGATCTCTCTTTCAATGGGCACTCGGCGAGGAGACAACAAAGTATCTTAGACATCCTGAGATAATCGTTCGCTAATACCTCAATGGATTATCAACCAACTCCCGCTGAACGCCACTTGAATTATCTCAGAATGTTTACTGAATAGTCATTTCACACTTTCTGCAGTGTAAACATATTCACGAAACGCTAAGTGAATCCTCATTGAACGCTCACCGAATTTCACTTAACATTTTCTGAGCATATCATCATCATCAGCCCTGATCCAGCCATTGCTGGATGAAGGCCTCCCCAAGCTGGTGCCATTTCTCACAATGGTCGAGCTCCTGCACACGAGTTGATGTCATCGCTCCATCTCCGCTGCGGATATCCTCCGGGATGTGTTCCATTCCTTGGCTGCCACTCCCTCGTTACTCTTGACCATTACTCTCAACATTCACCAAAAACTGAACGAGAAAGCTGAACATTGTATTTTTTATGGGAACCTCGTGTCGCTTGTTGCCGCCAGAACCTCAAAATTGACGCCACCAACCCCCTCTCCACAGGTGGAGGTGTGCCGTGACAAGGGCTGGACGGTGCAGCTCGCCTGGTTCTGCCACCTTGTGCTCGGTGTCAAGCAGGGCGCGAGCAGCTCCTGAGGCCACTGGTCACGGGGAATGACTGGCAGCACCACAAACACCAGAAGTTCCTGATGGCCCAGAACACCAGAAGTTCCCCAGAGCATTGGGCACTCACAGCTACTGCGGGCCTTGGCACCTGCAGTTTCTGAGGGACCCACGATAACAGAAGTTCTTGAGGGGCCCCAGGGTCCAGGCGCTTGAGGGTCCCAGGGCAACCGCAACTCCTGCAAGACCTGTCCTGTAAAATAATTACGTTGAACTTCTTTCGCGCCGTACGTAGCGCTGTACGTAGACAACAAACTAAACATAAAAGCAGTTCTAAAAGGATCCTCACATACGAACACACTCCCATTCTGTGATCAAAAACCACGTTTATCCACTTTGAAATAGAAGCCCTTATTCTTGTTATACCACACAAGAGTTCGTACGTCTCACGTCTCCTAGTTACATAAATCAAACAATCAGATGTTGAGCCATGCGCCTGTATGGTACTTCACGCTGCAAGTGAGCGTGATCGGTTGGCGATGCTTTGCAATGGGAGTGATACGGTATCCACGGGTCTCTACGGGACAATGTTGGTAAATCTCCGATAGAAACTTGACATGCTGTATCATTAAGTCTTCTGAAACGTATTCTGTGTAATTCGTGTCGGGAGGGTGCTTTAGTTTTGCTCTCTGAGCTTTGGGCACTTCCACAACATTATGAAGATGTTGGGGCCTAGACCGAATAAGCAAGGTAAGCCATCGAGGGGGCAGTGCTTATAGCTTGATGCCTTGATCCACAATATTGGGGAGGGAGATGTGGGGGGGCAGCTGCCTCCCCTACTCCCTCTACTCCAACGCACATGCTGTTATCATTCATTAAATACAAATTAAAACATTTTACACACCCAAAGTTTTGGTCTTTAATGTTGTAGTTAGGCCTATGGCCGAGTCACATGGAATGCACCAGATCTTGTCGGATCTCCGACGCGTGAAAGCATAGGTCATTGTTGGACTATACTTTACCTTCACGAACCCGCACTGACCAGCGTGGTGAAGTATGGTCAAAACAATCCCCGCAAACCGCACTGCTTGGGGGGGCCCATCCAGGAGTTGATTGACAAAAGAGTTACACGTGTACATATGTAAAGCATTACCATCAGTCATTATCCATCCATTGCTGCGTGAAGGCCCTCCCAAAAACCATCACCACCCCTCATGATCCTGCAATGCGAACATTCTAGCACCTGCACATAAGCGGATTTCATCGCTCCATCTCCTGAGTGAAAGTACTCTTGATGTACATTGTTCAACTGAAATACATTTTTAAAATGGAAATGTGATATTGTTGTGAAACATTAGATGCGAAATATTCAGACAATATGCCTCCTCCATCTACATCTGTCCCTCCACGTCAATATTAACGTGTTATTTTACACATCCCATCAATCACCCCACCTTCTTGGGAGTGCATAATGGTCAGCAGCAGTGGTTCAACACGAGCAACATTATGTGCCGGTTGCAACATGCAGTGTCTCATCAGACACTGAGGCGGGATTGCTTGAATCAGTGCTGGTGAACTGGCCAGATGTTTGTAGGCGAGCTAGTTCATGGCTTGCAGATGACATCGTCGTTCGCGTGGTTATCGTGCGGTGGCGAGATGTTAACTACCTCCCGTGATATGCAGGAGGTCGTGGCTTCCATCCCGACCCTGACGCCTGTCGGATTAAGCTAAGTGCGGGGCCTGTAGCATATTTTATAAAGGAGTCCTACATTTTTTAAAAACCTAAATATTAAATAAAATGTTAAACTTGTGTAGTAAAGTAATTGTATTTTTTAAATTTTCTACACAGCCAGATAATACGACAAATGGCTAACCTTAAACACCCAGTCGTGCATAAAAGTTCAAGGCGATATAGTACTATAGTAATTGAGCAAGTGCAGAATTACTGAACCGGAATTAATAGCTTGAAAGCATTTAGCGCGGGGCCCTTCAAAGTGTGGGGCCCGTAGCTACTACATATGTAGTTGCTACTGTTGCTACTCGGATAATCCGGCACTGCTGCTGTATATCTGGAGTTTTCGTGTCTCTCTCTCGCCGTGGTCGCGTGGATTTATTTTTCTCCGGGTCCTCCGGTTTTCCCTTCCACAATTAGAATCAACATCACCCACGCGTTTTTAGTATTTGGCTGCTATAATTTTCCACGCGATAAGCCGCCACACTTTGTTGAGCTATGAACGCGTGTCCAGGTCGCTAGCGGGCATCACCCGGTGGTGACATCAAGAGAACGAAACCCAAACACGCTCTGGGAGACGTGAAATGTGCGCGACGTGGCCGCTAGGAGGCAGTCGCCGCAGCTGCCCGAGCCGAGAGGGGATCACGCGGCGCGGAGCGACCCGGAACTGCCAGGGCTCTGTGAGTGGTTCCGTTGTTTTAGTCCCCTGCCTGGGACCCCCATTCCGAGCTTCGAACCCCCTATTTTGGGGTGGGCAGGGGTCTCAGCCAAGTAAATAAACCTCGGCAAGGCTGGTGTCTGTACGCAGAAGCGGAGAAGCAGGAGACGGGGGGAGGTGGGGGGTCTGACCTGGCCCGTGTAATGAGACGTCATGCGGGATCTGGGGCATTAGGGGATCTGGGGCATTAGGGGATCTGGGGGATTAGGGGGCATGGGGTCTAAAGGGTGAAGGGAACTCGGGGTCTGAGGGATTAGGGGGAGAAGGGGATCAGCCGTTGACAGCCTCCTGCCTCCTGCTAGCAGCGGGGGCGGCGACTGGGACCCCAGATACAGTGTGGGCCTGCGTGTGGGGCCCTCAGGGGTCTCAGTATCCTCTGTATACAGGGGTCTTCGGGACCCCTGGGACCCTCTTCCTGTCCCGTACCCCCCCCCCCCCGTGTGCCCCCCGTGTGCCGACCTGGGCGCCTCCCTGCGCCGCCTGAGGCCGCAGTGGCACGGGGTCCCCCCGCGACCCCGGGAGCCCCGCACGGGGACTCCGGTAAGAGCGTCTCCGGGCCGTGGAGGGGAGCACAGCCGGGGGACCCCTCGGCAGGGGTCTGGGAGCCCTCGGCAGGGGTCTAGAACCCTCGGCAGGGGTCTGGGAGCCCTCGGCAGGGGTCTGGACCCCTCGGCAGGGGTCTGGACCCCTCGGCAGGGGTCTGGGAGCCCTCGGCAGGGGTCTGGGAGCCCTCGGCAGGGGTCTGGGAGCCCTCGGCAGGGGTCTGGGAGCCCTCGGCAGGGGTCTGGGAGCCCTCGGCAGGGGTCTGGACCCCTCGGCAGGGGTCTGGACCCCTCGGCAGGGATCTGGACCCCTCGGCAGGGGTCTGGACCCCTCGGCAGGGGTCTGGACCCCTCGGCAGGGGTCTGGGAGCCCTCGGCAGGGATCTGGACCCCTCGGCAGGGGTCTGGACCCCTCGGCAGGGGTCTGGACCCCTCGGCAGGGGTCTGGACCCCTCGGCAGGGGTCTGGGAGCCCTCGGCAGGGATCTGGACCCCTCGGCAGGGGTCTGGACCCCTCGGCAGGGATCTGGACCCCTCGGCAGGGGTCTGCAGCCCGCGGTTCCAAAGTCCCCGCGGGGGCGTTAAACTCGAGCCGTGACCGTTGAGACCGGGAACAGGAACCGGGGGGGGGGGGGGGTGTGAGGAGGTGAGGGGGGTGAAGAGGTGAGGGGGGTGAGGAGGTGAGGGGGGTGAGGGGTGTGAGGAGGTGAGGGGGGTGAGGGGTGTGAGGAGGTGAGGGGGGTGAAGAGGTGAGGGGTGTGAGGAGGTGAGGGGGGTGAGGAGGTGAGGAGGTGAGGGGGGTGAGGTGAGGGGGTGAGAAGGTGAGGGGTGCGATGGGGTGATGCGTGAGGAGGTGAGGGGGGTGAGGAGGCGAGGGGGGTGAGGAGGTGAGGGGTGCGATGGGTGATGCGTGAGGAGGCGGAGGGGTTTGAGGGTGAGTCGTGACCGCTGTGTGTAATGAATGTGACGAGTGCAGAAATGAACGGGTGGAGTGGTGTGGACGCGAGGCGTGTTGGCTGTGAAGTTTGTGGAGTTCGGGGGGTGGAGGTGAGTGTTGAGTGAGGAGATGAAGGGGTGAGAGGTGTGGAGGTGAGGTTATGGTAATAGTTCACATTTGTGAAGGTGAGGAGTGTTGGTGGCGAGGGTTGCAGAAGGATGAGGCGCATGAAGGTGAGGAGTGTGATGTTTGGAAGTGTGGGGTTTGAAGGTGAGCGGTGTGGAGGGGAGGCGTGATGGGGGTGTGTGAGGAGTGAGTGTTGAACCCCTAAGCTACCATCACGTGGATCGCCGTGGCCAGAGGTCCCGGGGGTTGGAATACAGAGCCCGGAGAGTTGAGGTTCTTGTGGACCACCTCAGGGCCAATTTGGAGCGAGGCCCTCAATGGCCATCGTCCATCAGCATTGAGGCACTGAGGAGCACCGTTCAGATGTTATTGCTGTTACTCGTTGGTGCCCCGGCTGCCGTGGCTGTCCGCGGGACTCATTGTTAGTGCCGGAACCTGGCCTCTCTGTCCTGGGCTGTGCCGCGGTGTTGCTGCCCCTCCCGTGGTTCTACGACTCCAGATGTTTTTACGCCATTCTTCGTATGGCTGATATTGAGGTAGAGCAACAGCTTTAATTCTAGACGGAGGTGGTTGAGCCAGATGATTTGACTCCGGAGTTAGCGGAGTTTGTGCATCGCTGTGATGATGCCTCCCTCTTTGTATTTGTGAATCGGGCTTTGAGTCGGCGCTCATTCCGTGGTCCGTCCTGGGTGACGGCAGTCGCTCAACGGAGACGATGGAAGGCTCCGCAGGTTCTGTCGCGGCTGCCGGAGCAACGCGGTTGCCGCCTGTCGTTCCAGAAGCTCGCGCTGCTGCTGGGCGCAGAAGATGGCCGAAGCGCCCGAGACGGAAGGGCTCGTGGAACGGCCGAGCAGCTCGGGGTCCACGAACGGGGCCCCCGTCGACAGTCCCGGGGGCTCGCGGGCGAGGCCCCACGGCCCGAGGCCTCCTCTGGACGACGGCGACGTCGTCGTCACTCCGTCCAAGCGCAACCCCGACGGCCGCTTCGTCAACCCGTGGTCCACGTGGAGAAAGCCAGACAAGAAACAGGCCCTCAAGTGGATGCTGACGGAGAAGGACTTCAGCAAGGTGCCGGCAGCCGAGGTACGGGCCAGCGTTGGCAACTCGTCAAGGTGTCAATTCGTGCATCGGGCCTCGAAGTCACGACTATTTGTACCTTTGGCAAAATAGATAAGCAGACATCCCCCTCACAGTTCTCTCTCGACATAAAACCGTATGGACCTTTAAGGTTGTCAAAATGTCAGACAATTTACTAATAATTAAAACAAGAGTAAACAGATGCAGGATCCTTCAAATATAACTGCAATCGTTCATAGATCATAAGGGCCTCGTACAAGTTCCATCCCATTGTGCTGTCAGTGTCCGCACACTAAGAATCCTTTTTGAGCTCACGCAGAGCAATGAAATGCCCCCCCCCCCCCCCCCCCCATATTATCAGAGCCACTTCTGAGATGCCTTCAAGTGACACAAGTGGGCAGCACTTTCCCACTTGCCCTATTAGAAGGTGATGTTCGTCGTGTGAGTAAAACCGATATTGAGTCATTTTCTGAATTAAGCCAAATTTTAAGTGTAGAACCAAATTTAATGCTGTGGTGATTCTGTACTTTATTCGTGATCAGGCTGGGAGCATCAGCTCGCTACACTTGAGAAGCCTCGTTTAACCACAGGCGGCCAAAATCACAATTCAAACCCGGATCTCAGTCGACGGCGCCAGCTCGGCACCTGACCCTCCGAGCCGTCGGGCGGCCATCTCTCCCCGGGACGCTTCCTTACAACCATTCCCTCCTTGGCTCTGCTTCCCAGGAGCTGCAGCGTACGCTGCCGGTACACAAGCCGTACTTCGTGGAGGGCGCCGGTGGCAGCGGCGGCGGCTCTCCTCCTGAGAGCGTGCGGGTCACGTGGCTGGGCCACGCGTGCGTGCTGGTGGAGCTGGAAGGTTTCTCCTTCCTCACGGACCCCGTGTTCAGCGAGCGCGCCTCGCCCGTCGGATTTGCGGGGCCGCGCCGCTACCGCCCGGCGCCGTGCACCGTCGCCCAGCTGCCCGAGGGCCTGGACGCCGTGCTCATCAGCCACAACCACTACGACCACCTCGACCACAACTCCGTCGTGCAGCTCAACCGGCGCTACGGCACTCGCCTCTCCTGGTACCGGCACCATCGGGAGAGGGTATTGTGACTCCCTGGAAGTGGGACCTCTATGGCACCCTGGGGACAGAATCCTAATACTTATAGAAATGTTTTACTGTTCAACCTTAGTCAATCGGAACCTACTCCTGCGCACAGAAACTCCTTGTGGGGGGAATAAAAGCTCTTCATCGCCCCAACTGTATTCAGCTGTGGGAGCGATAGCCCCTTTCACCACCCTTGTGACAGTGCCTATGTTTAATGGACTAATGGCTGCATTGGTTTCACCAACCTTCCGTCTCTCCCAGGGCCACAATCACTCAAGGCCTCACCTCCATTGCGCTAACGAGGGTGGAGGCTGTCCCCTGCACGAGCGATGGGCATTGCGAGTGGGCAGCAGGGACCCCCCCCATACGCATGACCGTTCCGCCCTCCGCCCATGCAGGTTCGTACCGCTGGGCCTGGCCGGATGGATGCAGGACACCGGCTGCGAGAACGTCCACGAGCTGGACTGGTGGAGCGAGCGGAGCGCCGGCTTGCGGAGCAACATCACGGTGGCCTTCACGCCGGCGCAGCACTGGTGCAAGCGGGGCGCGTTCGACGACAACAAAGTGCTGTGGGGCAGCTGGTGCGTGAGCTCCGGTCGTCTCGGGAACCCGCAGCTTCACTTAGGCGGGCGCCAGCTCCGAGGGTGAGAATGTGGGCGAGGCGAGCTCACGTTGGCGCCGTGTGTGCCACCCCGCCCCCCCCGCCCCCGCCCAGGTGCGTGCTGGGCACTGGCGCGCGGTTCTACTTTGCGGGCGACACGGGCTACTGCAACGTGTTCCAGCAGATCGGCCGGCGCTACGGTCCCTTCACGCTGGCGGCCATACCAATCGGAGCCTATGCGCCCAGGTACGTGCGGCAGTAGAGGCTGCTGTGTGTGCGGTGTTGTCTATGCAGAGCGTGTGTTGGGGTGCAGTGGATCACACGTACCGTGCCATGTGTCAACACCAGCACCGGCAGCACATGGGCAATCCGCGGTGGCAGTGCTGGTCACACCAACCACTCGTGCGCCGAGCTGGCCTGAGTAGGCGCTTGCCCACAGCACTCGTCACAACAGTTTGTATAGCTACACAGGGATGCTTCGCCCCATCTGTCCATGTCAATCCATCGGCTCATAATGCATGTAGTTCATGCTGTGTGTGTGTGTGCAATCTGGTACAAACGCCAAGGTGAAATTTCTGCCGTTTGGTGACGAATGGCAGTTGTCGTTATTGTTGCTGTGTACACTTAGCCTGGCACAACCACTGTGGTGCTATTGCTACCACTTAGTAACGAATGGCAGTTGTCGGTGTTATGTTTGTGACGCAGCTGGTTCATGTCCAGCCAACACGTGGACCCAGAGTCGGCGGTGAAGATCCACGTGGACGTGAGAGCTGGTTACTCCGTGGGCATTCACTGGGGAACCTTCAGCCTGGCCAATGAGGTGCGTTTGTGATTGATGCTTACAGGGTGTTATTAGAAGGCGGTACAGCAAATGTGGCCCCCACCTATTCCATCTTTATGGGATGACGTGTTGCCCCCACACATGCATGGGTTTTCTTCTCTGTGTGCTCCAGTTTCCTCTCACATGTACAGACACTCGTTAATTGACTGAAAACATCTTAATATAGAGGACCGCAGAGCTTTGGGGGGAATTTGATGCCGGCTCGCTGCTGGGCTGCTGCCTTCCCGCTTGTCTGTGGTTCTTCTTGCCTCCGTGTCATTCTCTCTCTCTCACTTGGAGAGCGCCTATGTACTGTGAACCCAGTTGACATCACTGGCGTGAGACATCTGAGCCGGTCCCGCACACCCACCTTCACCAGCCCACATGGGACACGGCGTGGGGAGGCCTTCATCCAGCAGTGGATGGCTCAAGGGCTGCAAACATTATTTTGATGGATAATTAATACGGCACTGTGACCTTCCACTGCTCAATTAAGGCCTTCCTGTGCCATAAAAATCGCTATACGTGATTGTAATTTGTAGACATCAGCTCAGGTGCCTTGTGATGAGAACACTTGATCATCTGAACAAGAAAAAATGTTTGGGGAAAAATATAAAATATCACGTGCCACTAGATCTGCTGTAACCGCACATGCAGTCCGAGTGAGACTGAGCTGACATTGTGGGTAGACCAGGGCGTGCGATACGATGCCTGCTCTTGTGACTCCTCCTCCGCCGTGCGGGAGTGCGGTCGCAGTTTTACCTGGAGCCGCCGCAGAAGCTGGCGGAGGCCCTGAGCGCGGGAGGCCACAAGCCGGACGTGTTCTTCGTACTCCAGCACGGCGAGACGCGGGACGTGGGGTCCGGGGGGTGTCGGCCGTTCCCTCGCTAGGCCTACCGCGTCACGGGCAGCACGGACCAACCCGCCTCTCTCCTGGCAGCCTCTCTCATGCTCTAAGTTGGAGTCTTCGCGTGCCAAGTGGCGACTTTGGCCGGGGAAGATGCACTTTACTCTCAGAGATGGTGGTGGAATGATAGATGCTAATTTATCACATGATTGTGTTTCTATACCTGTGGTTACCCCCCCCCCTCAGCCTGACTCCATGCTCTGTGCTGACGAGCAAGGCTGGGCGAGGCGTTATTTAACAATTTACTTGCAAGGCAGCGACACGGCCGAATGAGTTCGCACACTCCACCAGCTGCTGCTCCCAACTCCCTCGCCCGCCAGTGCCGCACGGAGAGAACAGCGCAGCGGGCGTCTCGGGAAGAAGTGAGCCGGCCACGTAATGTGTGCCGTGACAGGCTTGGCCGGACTCAGCGAGCAAATAGTGAGCAACGGCCGAGCCCCAGGTTGACCTTACCCAAGATGCTTTTATAATCTATAAAGTGCATTTTACACTTTTCGTTTTATAAACGTAAAGAAAATAAAAACCAAAGTGTGCCTCGACGCAAGGGCTCGTGTGTTCACGGGGGTTCCTCTCAAAAAGAGGAGAGCTGTCAAGATGTTACTGCGGCATTCTGGGCTAATAGCGCGTTCTCACGTTTACATTCGAGACGGTTATATTTTAATAGCTTGTTTATTTTGAGTCATGATCTCACACGGGCATCACGAGCCGGCCGTGCGACCGGTGGCCCCGTGCGTCGAAGGCGCCCCCCCCGGCACCTCGGTACCACCTGACCTCTCATCCCGTACCGCTCGCTCCGTCCCAGATTTCTGCTTACCCCGACCCTCTGGGGGCCTCGGTACCGTGGCGTCTTAGACGTCCCGCACCGCCGCCCTCCACGTTCCCCTCGAGCCGCGAGTTCAGGGCCGTAACGGCAGTCACGAATGTCCAAACGAAGCCCCCAAGGCTGCGGCCACCAATCGGCACGGGCGGAGACCGGCGGAGCAGGCGGGCCGGGGGTCAGCCGCGCAGGATGCGGCGGCGGCGACGGCGCACGCGCCTCAGCTGCTGCTGACGCCCAAGGCTTGCCAGGTACCCCTGCCTCCGAGCCCTGTGGGGTGCGCAGACCTGTGACTCGGCAAAAGGGCATTGCGTTCTCGAGGGTCGTTAAAAACCGACGAACAAAAAAAAACGAACCCGCGTTAATTGTGCCGTCCTCTCAGAGCAGCGCGGGTGATCCGGCGAGTGACTGGTTCATTGAGTGAGGGTCTCGTTCGATTTAGCGGTTTTGGGTAAGAGTGGAGGAGTGCAAAGTGTGGGAGCGCATGTTGGCGAGTAGGCCTTCGAGGGTCTTGATGAATGCGTGTCGCCCGTGTGTGTGCGATCCGGGGTAAGTGTAGCGGTTAGCGGGCAACTAGCGATTAGTGCGCTGCACAAGGAACCCTGGCGATCGGAGTTCGAATCCCGCTCATGGCCTATACAAGTGAAGATTAAGACAAAAGTGGCCTGGTGTTCTGGCCACCTACGCTCTCTCACGTGTCTTGCCGGCCTTCGTTGGTGCTGCACGCTCATAGCACTTGCCCAACAGTCTGTTAAAGCTATATGGGGAATATTCGTATATTGATCAGGGGCAAGTTAGTGGGTGAATGCATGCTAGTGACGTGAGTCGTGAGTGCAGTAGAGGAGAGGGTCGTGGGCAGGGTGAACGTCTTACTGCACGACCTCCACCTGGTCCAGCGTCCACTGGTCCCGCGTGGGGCCCCCGTGCCGTGGCTGCCACCACCGCAGCATCACCCCCCTTGCCCGCGCCTTCCTGTACGGCCGAGATAATGGAACGCGAGTGAGGATGGGGGGGGGGAGCCTACCCCCACTTGTCCCTGGCACCACTTCACCCCCAGATACCCCCTGGGTTCTGTTCAACAGCAACCCCCCTCTTCCGACGCGCGGCACTGCCACCCCCATCTCTCTGCTGCTTTCGGAGGAACCTCACGAGCGCCTGGTGGTGGTGCCCCGGCTCGTGGGTGCAGCCGCCGGCGCCGGGCTGCGGTTGCGCGCCTACCCTGGTACGTCGTACGCCAGGCGTCGCGGCAGCAGGAGGTCGCGCGCGGAGTGCGACGCCAGCAGCTGCCAGCTGGCACCGTTGTCGGCGCTATACTGCAGCAGCACGGCGCGATCCTCCGCGTCGCCGGGGCCGTCGGCCGCGTTGCAGCGCTCGGACTGCGCCGGGCTCCCGATCCGCAGCACAAACAGCACCTTGCTGTACACGCACACACGTGCAGAAACACGCACACGCGGAAACACGCACACGCACAAACACGCGGAAACACGCACACGCGCGTTACTCACTTGGAGTTACGCACGGCGATCGTCGGCCCCTGCTGGCGGACTAATAACCGATTGCAAGCCGGGTGCCCACAGGGACAGCTGCAACTGGGGGTGTCCCCTTTCAAAATGTGTTGATGAGATGTGGTGTTAGTCGCTCATTGCGTGTAAAGTGATCTGAGATATGCCTGCACAAAGGACGGCGACTCTATAAAAAAAAGATTCTCATCATTAAACAAGTACACACGGACCCGTACATACAGGCAGCAGATACAGAGACACAAAGAAAAAGCCAAATATCCCCCATATAGCTTTAACAGACTGTTGGGGCAAATGCGGTTAGCGAGCACCTATGAAGACCGGCACAGCACACGAGGGGGTGGGTGGCCAGCACCACGCCCGACCGCGATGTTTACAGACCGCACCAGGTACTCGTTTGAAGCTGAGTGAGCCTCGGGAGGCCCAGGACCAGTTCAGAAAATAGCCACTGGTGTTGGCCTTTAGTGGGCATCGAACTCGGGTCGTCGGGCTCGTAGCACAGCACACTAACCACTGCACGGCCGTACGTACGAGCGCGCACACACGAACGGGGTCGTCTTGTCACACCTGGCCAGCGTGAGGTCGAGGGGCCGGGTCACGGCCTCGCGGACGCCACAGCCGCTGAAGTACAGGGCCTTCCCGTGTGCCAGCGGGTTGAGCGGCCCGCAGCCCTCGGGCAGGCCGCCCCCGGCCAAGCGGCCGCCCCCGGTGCGGGCCCAGCCGCGGCCTAAAGACTCCTCCAACTCGAAGCCCTCGCGCATCGATGTCGCGAGGGGCAACTCCACCGTGCCGCAGTCGTCCCCTGTGGGCGACGCACGGACGGACGCTCGTGTACAGACCGCAGAGACAAAGATCCCCCTTGGAGCCTTTGACCGACTGTTGGGGCAAGTGTTGTTCGCGGTGAGCACCTGCGAAGACCGGGACGGCACACGACCAGGTGGGTTGCAATAACCACACAAGGCCGCCTTGGTCTCCTCGGGGGCTGATGATTACCGCACCAGTTACTAAGTTTAAGGCTGCGCTGAGTCAGGGGAGGTCCAGGACCGGTTGAGATATTCGTCAAGGGATGTTGGCTGTAAGCGGGAATCAAACTTGGCTCAGTGTTCTTAGCGCAGTAGGTACACACCAAACGTTTGCACATGGAATACGCACACGCACACTTGAGTTGGTACCTGGTTTTAAATAAATGTCTTTGTCTAGACTAAAAAACGTCAGTGGGCTTCAGAAGGGATGCTGACCAGCGATGGAGACTAGCGACGGACTTGCACGCCAAAGGACGGAACGAAGCCCGGGCGGACGTCCATGACGGAGAAGAAGCGATGGAATCATCGCGTGTGGAGCAGCTGGGTGGATCGTTAGAGATTGCAACAGCTTGGGGAGTCCTTCATTCAGCAGTGGATAGGTCACTGGCTGGGCTCTCGGGCTCCACTGTGGAAACCCAGCGACCACTAAAGGTGCCGGTCAAGGATTTAGATCGGGGGTCAATCCCCATAACCCATTATAAGTGGCCCGGGTTGGGTGGAGGAGCGGGGTGGGGGTGGTCACGGACCTGTGTAGCCGTCGTCACAGACGCAGACGGCGCCGTGCGTGCACCTCCCGCGCCCGCTGCACAGGCGGGGACACGGCTCCCCCTACGAAGACGTCGTCGAGCCCCCAGGCGGGGGGCGGCACGGCACGGTCGGCGCCGCCCCCCGCGGCTCCCTTGCCTCCCGCGGCTCCCTTGCCTCCCGCGCGCCGCGCCAAGATCCAGCGCAGCTGCGTCGCGCTGCGCAGACGTGGCACGCCGTGATGACAATGATGATTACAATCGTTACTGCCGACAATCATTGATTATCGATGCGTCGATCGACGACATCGGTGCCATCAACGCCATCGTCAATCAACATCATAATCCCTACAATTTATCATTATCGGCACCTTGACGCAATACAAATCTACGTGTATGAGTCTATGGGTCTCTAAGTCTGTAGATCTCTAGGTCAATGCATCTCTATGCAAGCCTGTGGGTCTCTATAAACGGTCTCTTTATGAGTCTATGGGTCTCTTGGTATATTTATATTACGCTCCTATTACCCACAAACCCTCACCGAGTCTCACGACTCTTATTCAGGGGGGCCCTGCCGCGTTTTCTCAGAAGAGGGGGGGGGGGGGGCGACTGTCGCTGCGTATATAATCCCACTCGAGTTATTTACAACGCAACCCGCGTCGTGTCGTGTCCGTGTCGGCGCTCCGGCCGCGAGCTCACGTGGACGCGGCGCCGTCAGGCAGGCCGAGGGTGACGCGGGTCCAGCGCGGCGCCGTCACCGCCGAGTACACGGAGGCCTCGTGCAGCCGGAAGGGGGAGCAGCCGGCGCGGGAGGCCCCCGACGGGAGACACTCGCCCTGCACCAGCGCCCACTGGTCCCGGCTGCGTGCCGGGGGGTGGGGGGGGGACACGGTGGCCATGCAACCCAAACAGTGAAGCCACTGTGGTCTGCGCTCCTTTAACCGAGGAGGAGGAACAGCGACACGACACAAACTCTCTCTGTGCTGAAGCCCTCTCGTCGTCGCGAGCAACAAACCCTCCACATTGGCATCTCACTCCTGAACATGTTGCGGCCATCATGCACAAGAATTGAATCGCGTGGAATGGTGGCTGTTGGAGTGCCGGCGAGCGTACTCACCCTGCGTCCGTGCTGTACTCCAACCGCACGGAGAAGGCGTCGGAGCAGGCGTCATCGCCTCCGCCGCCGCCACAGCCAATCACAATCTGCTCGCTCGCACAGGCGCCGCGCGGACATCACTCGTGGGGGCAGCAGGGGCAGCAGCAGAATGCAGGGGCAGCACATGGGAAGTGACATTGGGAAAAGCCACAAAGCAACATCGCCCCCTACTGGCAGGATAATCGTCACTTCCCCGGCCAGTGCTGCGTTCACCTTGTGCTACACAGGGACAGCCGCCACCGGGGGTCCCCTTCGGCTAAACTGTCGCGGGGAAGTTTTATGAAGTTCATCACCTGGAACTGCACCATGCTGCCCGGCGCGATGATGAGCTGCCGCGTGGTGAGGGAGGCGGGAGTGGGCAGCGGCTGCCCCCCCGGCCACACCAGCGCCCCCCCAGGGCGGGAGCAGAACCCGGCGGCGGGGGCGGCGTGGGGGTGGAAGGTCCACAGGTCCTCGCGCAGCGCGGCCTCGCCCGAGCCTGCAACGTCAGCAGCGCCAAGCCGCTCGTCGGCGATGCCGCGCGGGCGCCCCGCGTCGCGGAACCAAGAATACCCACCCAGCGGCCCCGCCGGGGGACTCTCACCTGTCTGGAAGTCGTCCACCAGGATGCTGGGGTTCACCTCCTCGCCGCCCACCAGCACGTCGTCCAGCGCCCACGTTGCCCGCGCGACGGCGGCGGTGCAGTTCAGCAGCCCCGCGCGGCCCAGCAGGCACGGCTGCCACCAGCGCAGGCGCGTCGAGTTGGAGAGCACCGCGGGCAAGAGCGCCACGTGGTCGCAGCGCGCCGTCACGTAGCGCTGGGCCTCCATCTCAAACAGCAGGTGCCACCGCACACCTGGGGGAGGGAGGGGGCGGGAGGGGGGGTGGTACGGTGTCGCAGTGCCGCGCGTTTTTCAGCCAACAGGTGCTGTAGCCGAGGGGTAGGGAGACACGAAGCCAACGCAGCGTCTCTCAACTGAGCGACCGTTTTGGCTGGAGCAACGTGGCGACGCTTTGCATTGTTAACCCTTACACCGTGAAGAGGTTCACGCAACGCGAGCGGCGGTGTCGCCGGCGCCTCTCACCGCCGTCCGTTGAGAACTGCAGCAGCACCGAATCGTAGTGGCCCCGGGCGGCGGGACCTGCGCCAACGTCGATCCGCGCGCAGAAGCGGACAAACCTGGGCACCGCACGGGACGGCACATACCCACACCGTACGCCCACAGCAGGTCAACAACGCCTAAACCATAACAGAGTGCTCAAGCTACCACATTTCTGGCAGGCGCAATCAGCCCCTCCTACTTTTACATAGCCACACCCAGTCGCCTGCAAGCGCTGCCCACAGAGCGAGTAGATTTGCTCTATGCGATGTTTACTCCGCCTACTTCTCATAGGCCTCGCCCACTACTCGGGTAGCTCCACCCACAAGAGCCCGGCTCGCTGCCCAATCCCATTTTAACCCTGGGACAAGGTCCTGGATTTTACAACACTGACATTGGGGACATCGGGACAGGCTTTTTGAAACTGGGACTGTTCCCGGTCAAGCCAGAACATTCGGTAACTTTACAAGGTATAGGACACCACACAACACAGCATCGCACAGGCAGTCACCGTGTAGAGCGAGCGCCGTGTTCTCACGGGACTTCGCGTTTACCAGCTGTTCAGGCTGGGTTCAACTCCCGAGGAGTCCGAGGTGCTTTGAAAGACCCCGGGGTGCTCCCCGTGACCCCCTGACCCCGTGGCGACTCACGTGGCCCCACGCAGGTCCAGCTCGGCCGTCGTGGCCTGCCGAGCCCCCACGCCGCGGAAGTGCAGGGCGGCGCCGTCGGAGACGACCTCGCAGGAGGGGCAGGGCCCCCCGCCCTCCACCAGCTCCCACGAGTCCGGATCAGGGGTCCCAGCGGCCCCCCCAAAGCGCTCCTTCAGCAACGACTGAGCAATCACGCACAACGCTCGCGTGTGAGTAATCCAGACGCGCGATGCAAGTGTGTGCAGGTGCAGGTGCAGGCAAGTGAGCGCGCGCATCCCACCGGCCCAAGCCGCGTGCCATGGCAGGCCTCGCCGGAGGCCCCGGGGTCGCACACGCACGCCCCCTGCACGCAATCCCCGCGCCCGCCGCAGTGGCCCGGGCACGCGGGCCCCACCCAGAAGTCGTCCAGGGCCCACGGGGCCCCCAGCTCCTCCTGCAGGGCCCTGAACCGCACGGGCCTGGCGGGGCGGCAGCAAGAGGGTGACGAGTGAGTCAACGCCACCACGTAAGGCCGTGTGGCCGTGCGGCCGTGCGGCCGTGCGGCGCAGTGCCCAGTCGTGCGATCGCGTTCTTGTGCCGCCGGAGTTGCCGCGACGTCACGTTTGGCATCACGTGGGCTGACACGACACGTCGGTGATCGCGACGCCACTTTCCCGTAACTTCGCAACCATTTGACATAATTTCGCCGCCACTGCTTTTGCGCCACGCGAGTCATAAGAGAGTGAAGGCCACGTCGGCGTTCTTCACGTGCAGTTCGCCCAACACAGGCCGTAGATCTTCCACTCATCACCAAGGTCCACTCCACTCACACAGCACAAACTGGTACCAGCTCAGCTAGAAAAACTTCAATCACCTCTCTTTATTTACATGGCCAGGGAGAATGAATTTCTTATTGATAGCCCTCACTCAGGTCAAGAGGTTATCACGTGATTCACTGATGTTGTGAACTTATCAATTGTAACCGCCAATTGTGAAGGTCACGTCAGGTGGTACTATATCTGGCCTTTTGTCTTCACAGTGATAATGTTTGCACACATCGCACCAGGTACTCATTCGAGTCCGAGTCAACCTATGGGAGGCCCAAGACCGGTTTGGTGATGGCCGTGCTAACCGCTGCACTACCACTCCCCACGCACGCACGCATGCAGCACGCACACACATGCACGCACGCACATGCACACACACGCACGTCCGCTACCTCCCCGTGAGGCTGTCGTCGAGGGGAAAGGTCACCCTCCTCCAGCGGCGCGAGGGGAAGAGGGCCGAGGCCTGCGCCACCGCCCCGGTGCACTGTGGGTCGGCGGGCAGGCACTGCGGCTGCAGGTAGCGCCACGTGACGCCGAAGTCCACGGACGCTTGGACGTGCACGGGGCCGCCCCGCTCGTCCCGGCCCTCAGTGCCGTCCCGGCAGCCCACGACCATCTGGGCACCAAGTCATTGTGGGAAGGCCCGTGGTAACTTCATCGTTATTTATTTATTTTATCCAGGAGAGCAACACCGAGTCGTAGGGCTCTGGTTCAGGAGGGTCCTGCTGCTATATTTGGGTTTTATGTCAAGATAAATGACGAGTGTGTTTATTATTATTATTATACCACCTGGGTGGAAACCGGAGCACCCGGAGTAAACCCAAACCTTACGCGCGGGGGCAAGATTCCATCCCCGTATAGATGGAAAAAGATGGAGATTAGTCCACACTTTGCTGTACAGCCTTCTGGCGAGCATGCGGGAAGGGCATTTCACAACACCTGAGTGCGATCCACCAACCCTCCCTGCTGCCTCGGCAACGCTGGACCACAGGCAGCCACGAGCGGCAGCGTAGCCGCCACCCGGCCACGTGCGCGCTTGGAGACAAGAAGACGTCGCCTCGCCCGAGCGGCCAGGGGCTCGGGGCTCGGGGCGCTCCGCGTCGTCTCACCTTGGCGTGGAGCACCCAGCCGGGCCTCGGCTCCATGTCGTGCGTGGAGAGCGCGACGGCGTTGCCGGCGCCCCCCGCCGTGGCGCCTCCACACAGCAGCACGTCCCCCGGGGCCCCGCAGAACCTCCCCACCTCGCAGTCGTCGTGGAACAGCCAGCCGCTGTGCACTGCGCGGGAGAAGAGGAGCCGGGTCAGCGGCAGAGGTGCAGGCCCCGCAACGGCTTCGTTCTCTACCCTGCTGCCCGTTCCTCCGTACGGATCGCTTTGCTGTGCTTGTTCTGTGCTCACAGCGCCCACGGATCTCCCCCCCCCGCCCCCCCTGCAAATGTAGCTGGGTAACTGGCTAAAAAATAATATTGAATTGCTCGAGGATATTTTGGCCTACTCTTCCATGCTGGCCCAGCCACACACTGCCAGGCTCTCGTGTAATTATAATAATTGCGTAGTTTTATACAATTGCGTAGTTAATGCGGATTGCATCTCTCACAATCTCCAAGGAACCACGGACAAAGCTGGAAGGCAGCAGCAGCAGCAGCAGCCAGGCTACCAACAATTGCCCAAGCTATGCAGTCCTCTATATAATCAGATTTTTTAATCAAGGAAAGGGGGGTTTGTGGGGGGCGTGGTGGGGGTTGGGGTTGGGGGGAGGAGCCTCACGCTCCACCAGGTGCCGCGTGTCCACCGTCGGCAGCGAGTCGCCGTCGCCGCCGGGGGCGCCGTCGGACTGCGGCAGGTCGAGCAGGCGGGCGAGCGGCACAGAGAAGGAGTCGTGCATGCCGAGCGGGCGCTCCTGGCGCCAGCCGCCCACGAGCACCGAGTCGAGCGCCCAGTCGGTGCCGTCGCGCGCGCCGTGCCGCGGCTGCCACCACCGCAGGCGCACGCCGACCGCCCGAGCCTCCTCCTGGAGCACCACGCTCACGAAGCTGGTGCCGCGGGACCACGGGGGCACGGTTAAGCGGGCGCGCGACGCGTGGACGCTCGTTTGAGGCCGGGTCAACCCGAGGGGAAGCCCAGTTCAGATAATCGTCACCGGTGTTGGCCGTGAGTGGGAATCGAACTCAGGTCGCCGGGTTCATAGGGCAGCGCGCTAACCACTACACCACCGCTCCCCACGTACACACACACACACACACTGACACGCTCAATACTCGTGGGCTGACGTGTGGACACGCGCACACAACCAGAACGTGGGGGTCGGGGGGGGTCGTACCCGCCCTGCGTGAGCTCGTGCAGGAGCTGCCAGGTGACGCCGCCGTTGGTGGAGAACTGGAGCAGCACGGCCGGCTCGCGCCCGCCCGCCGGCGTGGGCGCGGGCGGCGTGGCGCAACCCCAGGAGAAGGTGAACTGAACGAACTCGGCCAGCATCAGGTCGAGGTCCACGCTCACCAGCGTCCGCGTGCACGGCTGGGCGACGCGGCGCGTGAACGCGCGGGCAACGCACGGACGTGCGGAGACGACGCAGAGACACGGACACGAGCACACACCGCTATATACACACGCGCGTGCAGTCTGAACATGCCTAGCGGGTGGCGGTGGGAGTGGTGGTGGTGGCGACGATGGTGAGAGCGGCGATGACAATGATGACAGTGCAATGGCGGCGGTGGTCGGCCTCAGCGCGTGGAGAGCTCACCCCGGTGAAGTGCAGCGCCGTCCCGGAGACGAGGGAACCGCAGCCGGCTTCGACGGCGCCGCCGGCCACCTGCAGCCAGCGCTGGGGGGCGGGGGGGCCCTGGAAGGCATCCTTGAGCTGCGTGGGCAGCGGCTCCGTGGCCTCGTCGCAGTAGAGGCCGGCCCAGCCGACGTCGCACCTGGGGAAGGGGGCGTAGTCGCAGGGCCACGTCCACGCGACGTTACCGCTGCCGCATTTCTGCGGGGCTCGACCGGGACACGCGGCGCGGAGCTGGAAGCCCCTCCCCTTTCCCGCCAGCCCCACCCGCTGTCACACAGCCACGCCCATTCAGTCGCTAGCCCCTCGCGCACGGCGAGCACCATTCGCCGTTCCCGACGTCGGCCTCGCCCACCACCGCTCGGCTCCTCCCACTGCTCCGGCAGCTCCGCCCTTTGCTGGCATCGCGAGTCAAGCGCGAGGCCAGAAGATTTTAACCCAAAGAGAAAAATTCGGGACGAGCTTTCTGAAAGCGCTGGGTTGTCCAGGTCCAAACGGTACATTCGGTAACTTACTCAACATCGCTGGCACTATCACCCATGTCGCCCCCCCCACCCTTCTCCCGTGCCCCCCTTTCTCACGTGCACGCCCCGCGTGTGCAGCGGCCGTGGCCAGAGCAGGCGTCGGGGCACGAGTCCCCGATGTGGACGTTGTCCAGGGCCCAGCTCTGCTGCCAGTCGAAGGGGAACGGCTGGGACCAGCGGAACCTGGTGGCGGGGGAGCTGGGGATGCGTGGGCAGAGAGGGGGTACACAGCGGCGTGACAAGCGAGGCCATGGGGAGACGAACAGGGTCACGGAGGCATCGAAACGGAGACACGTACGGAGACACGAGGCCCCAAGGTCATTTTGAACTCTTCGGGACAGAGGAACATGGGCAGAGGAACTCACGTGAACTCGGGAACACATCTAAACACGTGGAGACACACGAGGATGCTGAAACAAGAGGCCAACAGAGACCCACGGTGGGGGAAGGGGGGGTGACACACGGACACGCTGACCTGGTCACAAGAAGATACAGATGCAGCGGGTACAAGAGCACACGGACGCACAGACATAGGGTCACCGGGACACGGGGAGACAACAGGGACATAACGGCGGGGAAACAGGGACGTAGATAACAATGGGACAGCGCACGAAGACACGGGGACACGCGGGGGGGAAACGCGAGGGAGACCCCGCGGGGGGAGACACGCGGGGGGAGACACGCGGGGGGGACACGCGGAAGCACCGGGTGGACGGGGGCAGAGGGATGGTGATGCGGGTCCAGCGGGGGTAGAGGTCGGAGGAGAGCAGGGAGCCCGGCACGGCGTGGAGCCAGCAGGGGGCGTGCGCTGCGGCGCAGTCGGGCAGCAGCGGCCGCCACGTCACGCCCAGGTCGCGCGAAAACTCCAGGGCGACCGCTGCGGACATCACATCACAACGACGACAACAGCCACCGTCGCCATTCGCCACTGCACTTGCGCCAGACTAGGTGCACTTTGAGTACGTGAGAAGTGGCAAAGACTCGCTGGTAGGAGGAGGTCACGGGACAGACCCAGGTGTTACGGGTTGGCTGAGACGACCGCTGTGCTCCCCACTGTGCCAACGTAGCCAAGACAAATACAGAGATCCCTCGCGTAGCCTTTCAACGGGCTGTTGGGGCAAGTCCTGTTTGTCGCGTGTAGGAGCACCGACGAAGGCCGTCACGGCGAACGTGCGGGTGGTGTGGCCAGCGCCAGCGCCCGGCCGACAGAGACGCGCACGCTCACCGTAGCAGGTGCCAGCATCGCCGCACGCGGCCACGAAGTCGAACTGCAGGAAGGAGTCGTCGCCCACGGCCAGGTCGCCCGTCACGGCGTAGCGCGACGACGACTTGTTCCCGAACACCAGCGCGTCGCCCGCGGAGCCGCACGCGGGGCCACGGCGCCCGCCTGGCAGCAGCAGCCAGGCATCGCCCGGCGCCAGCGAGAAGTCGTCCTCCAGCACCGAGGAGCCGGGCGCGCCGCCCCCCACCACCACCTGCGACGGCGGCGCCGCCGCCCCCGCCAGGGATTAGAGGCCCGAGTGGATCAAGGGGTGTCGGGATAACAAACTCAAAATGTTGATGTTAGTAGCACACGATGTTCCTCCCATCGCTATTTCTCTTTGGGGCCCACAATGGGTTGTCACCACCACTCGGGCAGACAGATACAGCTGCCAACTGGAAAGCTCAACCAGGAACTCGCAACCTTCCGACCTCGAAGCCGGCGACGGCCAACTCGGTCGGACGGCGGAACCGGAAAACACGGAAACCCGCGGACAAAATCCGTAATCTTGGGCCGCACGGCGTCACCTGGTCGATCGCCCAGGGTGTGTAGAGCGCCGGCGAGAGGAGCGGCTGCCACCAACGCAGGCGCGTGGCCGGCGTCGCGGCCTTTCGCGGCACGTGCAGCGCCACGTAGCGCGGCGCCGTCCCCGACTCGCCGAAGCTCAGCTCCTGCAGGAGACGCCAGGTCTGCCCGGCATCCGTCGAGAACTGCAGCAGCAGCGGCGCGGAGCGGCGGTCGGGCGCCGTCTTGCTGCAGCCGAGACGCACGTAGAACTGCACGAAGCTGCGCAGTGCCGCCCAGGGTCAGGGAGAACGAGTTGGGGTCAGGGTTAGACACGTGGTTCACAGATCTGGCGACGGTAAGGCTTTCAGGCCGAGGTTAGGTGATTTAGGTTCAGAGTGCGGGTTAGGCTTCGGGGTCAAGGTCAGAGTCAGAACGGGGGTTGAAGTTAGTCTTTAGGATCAGGTTCATCTCGCGGTCGTGCGTATGTGCGTGCGTGCGTGCGTGCAACTGACGTGGCGCGTGAGAGGTCGAGGTCGTGGGTGAGCAGCATGCGGAGGCCGCCGTCTCCGTCGGCGAACACGAGGCTGGAGCCGTCGGCGAGGACGCCGCAGCGGCGCGACACGCGCCCACCGCTCCACGCCGCCAACTCGGCCTCGCTCGGGGGCTCTGCGCGCACCGCACGGGGGCGGCCGTCGGGGGTAGCCAGCACGAGGCAGGCATCCACATTGCGGGGCACGGCAGCGAAGGGTGCGGGTAAAGCATGAACATTCCCCGGTGCCGTTTGCCAACGTTGGAACGGAGCGCTGCTTGCCGCGGTGGCCGTGCGCGCGTTGCCGTGTACGCGCGGAGCGCCAGGAAGCAAGCGACGAGGACTGGGGACCAGTTTGGAGTTGAAACAGTTTGGGATTTTAGAATTTTTAAGACAATTTGAGGAAATATTTACCCGATGGGAATGATTTGCATCCGAACATTTCGAGTCTCGCGAACGCGCGGACGCGTTGGCACGACCCGCGTCCCGCCGCGTCACCTTCGAAGTCGTGGGAGAGGAAGCTCCGGAGCGGCGGGCGCCGGGCGCACGTGGGACCCGAGAAGCCGGCGTCGCACTCGCACCGCGCGCCGCCCACGCAGCCGCCGTGGCCGCTGCACATATCCTCGCACTGCGGGCCCACGTACACACCGTCCAGCGCCCACGGGCCCCCGCCCACGCTCCCCGGCAGGAAATAGCCCTGGTACCAGCGGAACCGCACGGGCCTGCGGGCATCGACGGAGGATGGATGCGTGCGGGGGGGGGGGGGGGAGGTTAAGAGGGGGCAAAACTGAAACTGTGGGGGGCGGTGGAGGCTAAGGAGAGCAGCAGGGCCGACTCTTACAGGGTGGTGGTGGGGATGATGATGGTGATGATGACAGTGGTGGTGAAGGCATTGCAAGTGCAGAGTCTGCTGCAGCTGACGGTGATCACGATGGTGATCATGAAGCTGTCGATAATGGTATTGGCGTTGGCGACGGCGGTGCCGCCGTCTCCGTACCCGCACAGCTGCAGCTTGCCCACGTGCAGCGCGTGCCGCGCCCACCCGGGCCGGGCGCCGGCGTAGAAGACGCTCGGCGGATGGCGCTCGGTGGAGCACAGGGGGCCCCCCGGGCGGCCGGCGCCGGCGCACAGCGGCCGCACCAGGTGCCAGGTGGCGCCGCGGTCGCGCGAAAACTCCAGTCGCACCGGCGTGGCCGGAGCGCCGGCGGCGGTGTCTTCGCCACACCCCACCGCGATCTGCGACCGGAAAAGAAACACGAATATGCACGCTAGAAAATATCGAAATTAAACGTAAAAAAAAAAATCGTTGGTTGCCGTCGGGGCGGCCGACGCCGGCGCCAGACGCGAGCGTCACCTGGAACTGCAGCACGGTGTTCTCCGCCACCACGAGATCCCGCGTGCTCGCCGAGCGCTCACCGTCACCGCCTGCCGCGAACACCAGGGCGGTGGCACCAACCCTGCGCGGCACACGAGGAGCTGGTTGGTCAACACCACGCCCGGCCGCCTTTGTCTCCCTCGTGGCGATGTTTACACACCAAGTACTCATTTGAGGCTGAGTGGACCTAGGGGAGGCCCATAACCGGTTCAGTTAATCGTCACTGGTGTTGGTGCGCCGTGAGCGTGAACAGAACTCAGGTTGCCGGGTTAGTAGCGCAGCGCGTTAACCGCTGCACTCCAGTTCTCTCACACACAGCATCACACATACAGCGTCACACACACAGCATCAGACACACAGCGTCACACACACAGCATCACACACACAGCTTCACACACACAGCATCACACACACAGCATCACACACACAGCATCACACACACAGCGTCACACACACAGCATCACACACACAGCGTCACACACCGTCTCACATACAGCGTCACACAGCGTCACACACACAGCATCAGACACACAGCGTCACACACACAGTGTCACACACACACAGCGTCTCACACACAGCATCACACACACAGCGTCACACAATGTCTCACATACAGCGTCACACAGGGTCACAAAGACAAAGACAAAGATCCCCCGTATAGCCTGAACAGACTGTAGGGGCAAGTGCTGTTAGCGAGCACCTATGAAGGCCGGAACGGTACACGAGGGGGTGGGTGGCCAGCACCACGCCCGACCGCCTTTGTCTCCCTAGTGGCGATGTTTACACACCGCACCAGGTACTCATTTAAGGCTGAGTCGACCTAGGGGAGGCCCAGGACCGGTTCAGATAATCGTCACTGGTGTTAGCCGTGAGCGGGAATCGAACCCGGGTCGCCAGGTTCATAGCGCAGCGCGCTAACCGCTCCACCACCGCTCCCCACAACAGGGTCACACACACAGCGTCACACACACAGCATCACACAGCGTCACACAACGTCTCACACACACACAGCATCACACAACGTCTCACACACACAAAGTCACGTGCCCAACATACACAGCATCGTCCTCGCCGCCGGCGCCGCCCCCGCCAGCTCCCCCCCCGTGGCCGGCGCAGTAGGCCCCCGCGCGGCCCCCCGGGTGGAAGAGCCCCCCGGGGCCCTGGGGGCCGAACGAGTCGAGCAGCAGGGCGTGGCCCGGGCCGCCGTCGTCCCCGTCCAGCAGCACGTCGTCCAGCGCCCACACGTGCGCCTCACGCCCTGCCACGCGGGGCCACGGTGGGGATGGGGGGTACGGGGAAGTGAGGGGCGGCGTAGGTGGACAGAGGGCGTGTCACCTGGGGGGAGAGGCGTAGCGCGGTAGGTGGTGGTGGTGGCGGTCGTGGTGCTGGAGGTAGTGGTGGTGCTGCTGCTGGGGGGGGGGGATGTGGGGGAGGCGGCACCTCAAGGGTGGGGGGGGGGAGGGCAGGAGTCGGGATCACGACCTTGTGGGTTGCTGTTGGGCGAGGGGCGTGGGGGCTCCTCACCTCCGTGCCGCGGCTGCCACAGGCGGAACCGCGTGGCGTTGGTCTGCGCCGTGTGGGGGAGCGGCGCGCTCACAAACAGCCGGTCCGCGGGGGGGGCCGCGGGGTCGGCGGGTCCGGAAGGGGGCCCGGTGGAAGGGGGGCCCAGCTCGTCCAGCAGCCGCCAGGAGATGCCGCCATTGATGGAGAACTGCAGCAGCACGGCGTGGGAGCGGTCGCTCCAGTCTGCGGCGTGGTGGAGGAGCGAGCAGGGTGGAGCGGGGAGGAATCGGGAGGATCGGAGTCAAAGTCTGCTGCAGTGCGGTGAAGCCGAGTGAAATGAAATGGGGAGTGCGGCGGGGGAGCGAGCGAGGAGGGGGAGGAGACGCACCCGAGGAGATGAAGCGCAGGTAGAGCTGCAGGAAGTGCGCGCTGGTGCAGTCCAAGTCACGTGACACGAGCAGGCGGGGCCCGTCCTGCAGGAGAGCGCAAGCTCAGCCACTCGTTCGCCAGATCGCGCTCGCCCAGTGGTGAGCGTGCGAGCACGTCGCTGTGTGGGCGTGCGAGCCCCCAGGTCGCTCTTGGTGATCTCAGCTGGCCAAACTAAATGAACTTGAACCTGTGGGTATGGGAGCAGAGCTGCGAGCGAACAGTGCGAGGCTGTGGGAGTGCGTGGCACCCCACGAGTCCTCCAGCGTGTCTGTCCCACGCACCCCGCGCGTTGCCACACGAGTGTGTGTGTGCTGCTCATTTCAGTCATTCAACCCAAAGCACCTGGGTAAGTCCCGTGACTTCCTGCCAGCGGCGAACCTTACACACCTCACGTGGTGATCTCAAAGTGCACCAAGCCTGACACTAGCGTCAAGTGCTGTGTACAATTGTGTGTGTGTACGAGTGTGTATGTGCTTGGAGGGAGCGGTGATGTAGTGGGTCCGATTCCTGCTAATGGCTAACACCAGTGACGATTATCTGAACAGGTCATGGGCCTCCCCTAGGTCGACTCAGCCTTAAATTAACACCTGGTGCAGTGTGTAAACATCGCCACTTGGGAGACAAAAATGGCCGGGCGTGATGCTGGCCACCCACTCCTCACGTGCCATTCCGGCCTTCACAGGAGCTCGCTAACAGCACTTGCCCCTACAGTCTGTTAAGGCTATACGGGGGATCTTTGTCTCTTCGTGTGTACATGTGTGTGTGCATACAGGTGCGCGTGTGTGTACCAGTTCGTGTGTGTGTACAAGTGTGCGCCCTCGCCTGCCGGAAGATGAGCGCCGGTCCGGAGGTGACGGCGCCACTGGGAGGGCCGCCCCAGTCGGCGCCGAGGCGCTGGGACCACTCGACGGCGCTCGGCTCCGAGTCGAAGTCGTCCATGAGCAGCGACGGCAGAGGCACGGTCGGCACGCAGTACGCGCCGCCAAACCCCTCGTCGCACCTGCGGCACGTGCGCGTCACGCGCGGCACGTACACACCCCGGTGAGTGGAGATGCCGGCGAGTGTGCACGCCGGCAAGTGCCGACGCTGGCAAGTGTGCACGCCGGCGAGTGTGCACGTCGGCAAGTGCCGTCGCTCACCGGCAGTGCCCCGAGAGGCAGGAGCCGTGGCCGGAGCAGAGCCAGGGGCACCCGGAGCCCAGGTAGACGTTGTCCAGCGCCCACGGAGAGCCCCGGGGCCCACAGGGGCCCCAACGCTGGATCCAGCGAAACCGCGTGCGGGGAGAGCTGAGCACACAAAGACAAAGATCCCCCGTATAGCCTTAGCAGACTGTTGGGGCAAGTGCTGTTAGCGAGCACCTGTGAAGGCCGGTACGGCAAATGAGGGGGTGGGTGGCCAACACCACGCCCGGCCGTCTTTGTCTCGCCAGTGGCGATGTTTACACACTGCACCAGGTACTCATTTTAGTCCACCTAGGGGAGGCCCAGAACTCGTTCACTAAAATACTCTCCTTGTGGAACACTGACCTCCTGGGGTCGGTAATACTGAGTTTGTGTGTTTCTGGTGGTAATTAAGGTGCTGGGAGCGCTGGAAGTGCGGGTGGTAGCGGTGGTGGCAGTGACTGCAGCACTGTCGGTGCCGGTGGTGTCGCCGGCGCCACCACCGGCGGGCGGGGTCGGCGTCGGCGCGCGGCGCGCCGTACGTGGCGGCAGGCGGCAGGTAGACGGTGACGCGCGTCCAGGCGGCGTGCGTCTGCGCCGTGTAGACCGAGGCGCGCGCGTAGCGCTCGCAGCCCAGCGCCGGCGGCGCGCACTCCTCCTGCAGCAGGCGCCAGCCGCGCCCCACCGACAGCGAGAATTGCAGCTCAACCGCGGCGCCACCGCCGCCGCCGCCACACGCCTCCTCCGCGCCGCCCCCCGCAGGGAGCGGCGCGTCGCCGGGCCCCCCGTGCCCTCCCAGTTCCCCCCCCACGCTGATCTCGAACTGCAGGAAGGTGGAGGCGGTGACCTGGTAGTCCCACGTCTCGGCAAGACGCGGCCGGTCTACTCGCAGCGGACGGAGGAGCCGAAAGGCGGTGTTCGGAGGGGTGGGGGGGGTTACACGAGGAAGGGGGGGGGGGTACACGTTGACATACCAATACACAACTCGACACTCAACAACACAAAGCAGCACTACTACTTCACGAAGCGCCGTGTCACAACGGCTCACAAGCGGTGGCGTGACGTCGTCGGCTTGGGCCCTGCTGTAAGGATTTAAACGAAGCCCCCCCCCCCCCCCTTTGTCCAATTTTCCCGCCCTTCATCGTTGCCCGGCACCTCAGCCCCACCGGCCCGTGGCCGGGCCGTAGAGGCCTCACCGGAGTGGCCGCCGAACCGGAGGCCGTGATCGCCGTTGCCGGAGCCGGCGCCGCGAAGCACGCGGCCCCCCTGGATCTGGAACCAGGGCCCCCCACCACCGCCGGCCCCCGGCTCCTCGAAGCCATCCTGGAAGCCGGGCAAGGAGCTGTCGTTGACTCCGACCAGGACGTCGTCCAGCGCCCACTGGGCCCCGGCGCGGCCTGGCACGCACCGGGCAGACGCGTGGGGAGCGTGGGACAGATGCATTGGACCTCGGTCTCCTCCCCGAGGTCAACTCAGCCTCAAACGAGTACCCGCTGCGATACATAAACATTGCCGTGGGGAGACAAATGGGGCTCGGCATGGAGTCGGCATGGAGCCAGCCCCCTCGCGCACCTTTATTAGGCGCTACTCGCTAACTGCACTTGCTTCAAAAGTCTGCCGAGGCTACGGGGTGGGATCTTTGTCTTTGTACCGTGCTGCGGCTGCCACCAGCGGAAGGCGGTGTGCGGCGTCTTGGCCGGGGGCGGCAGCACGAGGCCCACGAGCTCGGGCAGCAGGAAGGAAGAGAAGTCGAGCTCGCGCAGCAGCGACCAGCTGACCCCGTTGTCCGCGGAGAACTGCACGAGGACACCTGCAGCACAGCGAGAAAGCCAGCGAGTGGTGTGTAGAGCGAGCACGTGGGGGAGTGAGCGAGTGGTGTGTAGAGCGAGCACGTGGGAGAGTGAGCGAGTGGTGTGTAGAACGAGCACTTGGGAGAGTGAGCGAGTGGTGTGTAGAGCGAGCACGTGGGAGAGTGAGCGAGTGGTGTGTGGAGCGAGCACGTGGGGGAGTGAGCGAGTGGTGTGTAGAGCGAGCACGTGGGAGAGTGAGCGAGTGGTGTGTGGAGCGAGCACGTGGGAGAGTGAGCGAGTGGTGTGTGGAGCGAGCACGTGGGAGAGTGAGCGAGTGGTGTGTAGAGCGAGCACGTGGAAGAGTGAGCGAATGGTGTGTAGAGCGAGCACGTGGGAGAGTGAGTGAGTGTTGTGTGGAGCGAGCACGTGGGAGAGTGAGTGAGTGTTGTGTGGAGCGAGCACGTGGGAGAGTGAGCGAGTGGTGTGTGGAGCGAATACGTGGGAGAGTGAGTGAGTGTTGTGTGGAGCGAGCACGTGGGAGAGTGAGCGAGTGGTGTGTGGAGCGAATACGTGGGAGAGTGAGCGAGTGGCTACTGATACAGCGAGGATGAGTGAATCAGCGGCACGTGAATGAGTAGAGTTGTAGAGTGAGTGAGCGAGCGAGCGAGGTGAGCGAGTGAGCGAGCGGAGTGGTTGAGGCTCCGTGGAGTCACCCTGGTTGCGCGTGCGAGGTTTGGAGCAGGCGGCGCCCAGGTCGGTGCTGCCCACGCGGACAAAAAACTGCAGCATCCTGTGGCATGAGGCAGCACACACGGCACACTGCGTCACAACGCGGCACGCCGCAGCAACGGCACACTCACTCGCACTCACTCACATAGCACACTCATACAACAACAACAACCGCCATTCGCCACTAAGTGGCGGTGACGTCACCACGACGCTTGTGCCAGGCCATGTGCACCTTGAGGCCACGTGAAGTGTTGAACGCCCGCTGGCAGGAGGTCACGGGGCAGACCCAGGTGCCACGGGTCGACTGACCGAGATGACCGAGATGACTGGCTGATGCACCACCTGTGCCCCCTACTGTACCAACTTGCTGTGCTTTAGCCACCCGGCGCTCCGCTCGTTGTTGTGAGCGTCGCTCCTCCGCCCTCCGTTGTTGTTGGAGGGCGACTGCCTCCAACTGCCCAGTAGCGTCCTTCACGAGCCTCCTCCACTGAGGCCGATCTTGACACCGCTGGTACCAGTCATCGGCAAGTCCACTCAGCTCCACGTCCTCCTGTACCACATCACTCCATCTCTTCTCTAGCCCGTGCGGCGGCCGTTTAGCCCCCTCGATCCGGCCGAACAAAAGCTGTTTAGGCATGCGGTGGCTGGGCATGCGGGCTACATGACCCAGCCAACGCAGCCTTGCCTGCCGGAGGAGCTCACTGATGGGACTTTGCCCAGATCTTTCAAGGACTTGTGAGCTCCTCACACAATCCAGCCTGGTTAAACCCAGGATGGATCGTAGGCAGGCCAGCCTAAATGTTTCCAAACGGCGAAGATGCTCCACTAGGGGGGTCCACGTTTCGCAAGCGTAGAGAAGGGAGGGAATGACCGTGGCCGAGCAGACCTGAAGCTTCGTGCAGAGCGACAGACCAGGTAGCTTCCACACAGCGTTACGCAACCGATGAAAAGATATTGCCGCTCGACTGATTCGGAGTGAGACCTCTGCTGATAAACTGGAGCCGGTCATAAGCACACTGCCCAGGTATGGGAAACTCTCCACTCTCTCCACAACAGCCCCATCACCAATTGGGAGTTGTGGGGGTGGAGTGTCCGATGGTACAAAATACCCAGGCAGGTGCTTAGTTTTGGTGGGGCTGATGGTAAGGCCCCACCTCTTAGTGGCACGCTCCAGTCTCAGCAGCAGCATCTCCAACTCCTCTTCTGAATGAGCAGCTATTACCAAATCATCGGCATACATAACGTGGTTGACCAATAGGGAGCCATCCCTTGATCGCACCCGGGCGTCGATCAGCCTCCCATTATATCTGTACCAAATGGAAATTCCCCCGGTACAGCTATTGAAGGCTTCACGAACTACGCAGTCGAAATAGATGTTAAATAATGTGGGAGCCAGAGGACATCCCTGTCGCACCCCAAGGTGTACAGGGAAAGGCTCCGACTCCCGGCCACGTAGTTTTACATAGGCCCGCTCACCATCATGAAGGTCCTTAATGATCGTGAGCAGAGGGTCAGGGACTCCGAAAGCACGAAGAACAACCCACAGCCCAGTCCTACTGATGGTATCATAGGCCTTGACCAGGTCAATAAAGCAGAGATGTAGGTCTTTTTGGAATTCCCTACACCTCTGCTGTAGCAGACGGACAGAAAATATGGCATCTGTGCAGGACCGCCCTTTCCTGAAACCGCATTGGGGCTCCGCAAGCCTCTCCTCAGCGTGCCTAGCAAGGCGATGTTGAATAATCCTTGCCAGGACCTTACCCGGCACACTGAGGAGTGAGATGCCCCTGTAGCTGTTACAGTCGGTACGGTCCCCCTTCTTAAAGAGGGGGACCACCAGGGCATCCTTCCAGTCCTGCGGAACCCGTCCAGTGGTCCAGACTGTTGTTATGATGTTATATAGGGCAGTCTGTGCACAAACGCCACCCTCCCTCAGCATTTCGCTTGGGAGATCATCTCTGCCCGGTGCCTTCCCTGGTCTCAGACTCCGGATCGCCCTCAGTACTTCCTCAACAGTTGGCACCTCAGCCAGCCACTCACAAGGGGGTGACCTCTTCCAATATGTGAGGCACCGCAGCCTCAGCAGGGTTATCCCCACTTTGTGCCATGATGTTTTCCTGGCTGAGAGATTTTCCCTCCCCCAGGACCTCACAGAAATGCTCAGCAAATCTGCAAACCTGTTCCTGGGGGTTGGAGATTGGATCACCGTTTTTTCCTCTAATGATGGTAATAGGTGTGGCGCTGCAGGTTACTTTTTTGATGGAGTTAAATAGTGATTTGTGATCGCGGGCCACTGAGGCAGACTCCATCTCCTCAGCAACCCGCGACCACCACCCATCCTTACAGCGCCTTACGGCTCTCCGAACCTCCGAGGGAAGGCTGCGGTAAACCTCCTCATTCTCTGACGTGGGATGCTGTAGGCGATGAGAGTGGACCTGTCGCTTTTTCTCAATTAACCTGAACACCTCCTCCGTCAGCCAGGGTTTCTGGGGAGGTCTGGACCGCGTACCCAAAGCAGCCATTGCAGCTGCATGAGTCACAGTCCTAAACCTCGCCCATTTACCCTCGACATCAGGTGGAGTGGGGGACGATGCCAACCCCAGCTGCAAGCGATGATGAAATTCTCGCTTGCAACTTTCATCAGCTAACTGAGACCAGGCCACTTTTGGTTGGAATGGGATCGTGGGTGTACACCCACCACCGGAGTGGAAGAATGGCAGGCGCATCTTACAGATGACTAGTCGATGGTCAGAGGGCAGATCAGCTCCACGGTAGGTCCTGGTGTCAAGGACATGGGCTCGCATCCGCTGGTCCGTCACTATGTAGTCCAGCAGATGTTCTTGCTTGGACCCGGCATGTATCCATGATGTTGTGTGGATGCGCCGATGCCGGAAGAGCGTGTTGGTAATTACAAGCCCATGGGCTGCACAAAAATCTAGCAGCCTCCTACCGTTATTATTGAGCTGATCTGGCCCATGCCTTCCAATCACTCCAGACCAGGTGCCAGCATCATGACCAACTCGGGCATTGAAGTCACCCAACAAGATGACTCTGTCCCGAGTGGCCACTTTAACCAGCACCTGACTCACAGCACACTCACTCACACTCACAGCACACTCACTCACTCACACACAACACACAGCTCACACTCACCCGACGCCCGTCGTGTCGACCGGCACGGTTCGCGCCTCACGGCGCCCGGCGCCGTCGAAGTAGAGCGACTCCCCATCCCCGAGGAGCCCGCAGCCCCGGGCCACGCGGCCCCCCAGCACGAAGGCCCACAGGGGCCCCGGCTCGGGCCCCTCGAAGCGGTCGACGGCCTCGCGGGGCGGGGGCGGCACCAGGCCAAGCGCGGCGTCGCGCACGCACGAGCCCTCGTGGCCTGCGCCGTGCACGCACAGCGACAGGACGGGCGTCACGGTGGGTGGGTGAGTGGGTGAGTGGGTGAGTGGGTGAGTGGGTGAGTGGGTGTGTGGGTGTGTGGGCGAGGGTGTGTGGGTGGGTTAGTGGGTGGGTGTGTGGGTGTGTGGGTGAGTGGGCAAGGGTGTGTGGGTGGGTTAGTGGGTGGGTGTGTGGGTGTGTGGGTGGGTGAGTGGGTGAGGGGTGTGTGGGTGGGTGAGTGGGTGAGGGTGGGTGAGTGGGTGAGGGTGTGTGGGTGAGGGTGTGTGGGTGGGTGAGTGGGTGAGGGTGGGTGAATGGGTGAGTGGGTGAGGGTCTGTGGGGTGGTGGGAGTGGTGTGGGTGGTGCTGGCCACCCCACCCCCTTGTGTGCTGTGCCATCCTGCTACTCGCTAACACCACTGTCCCCAACAGTCTTTTAAGGCTATACGTGGAATCTTTGTCTTGTGGGGAGCGGTAGTGTAGTGGTTAGCGCGCCCCACTTGGAACCCGGCGATCCGAGTTCAATATTCAGTCAGGGCCACCAACACCGGTGACAATTATCTGAACCAGTCCTGGGTCTCCCATAGGTCGACTTGGCCTCAAATGAGTCCCTGGTACGGTGTGTAAACATCGCCACTGGGGAGACAAAGGCGTGACGCTGGCCGCCCCACCCCCTCGTGTGCCACAGTGCCGGCGTTCGTAGGCGCTACCCACTAACAGCACAGTCCGTTAAGGCTGTACGGGGAATCAGTATCTTTATGTGTGCGTGTGCGCGCCCTTGCCCGTGTATCCGGCGTCGCACGTGCAGTTGGCGGCCCAGCAGGCCCCCCGGCCCCCGCAGTGGCCCGGGCACGGCTCGGACACGGCCACCTCGTCCAAGGGCGAACGGGGGGGGCGGGGGACCCCCCACGGACCCCGGGGTCCCTGTCTCCTGCAGCCAACGGAACCGCACCTTCCTTCGTGACGCACGGACACATGCACACAAAGACAAAGATCCCCCATATGGCCTCCACCAGACTTGTCGGGGCGCGCGGCCTATGGCGTTGATGTTGCGGCCGTGGTGCGCCGGTCGTAGCAGCAGTCGTCGTCGTCATCGCGTTGTTGTGCTGCGGTGGTTGTAACGGTGGTTCTTGACACGTGGTGAATGTGGCGGTTGCGATCACGATGTGTTTGTGTTCGTGGTGCACGAGGCGCGGTCGCGGCGTGGCAGTCAGGGTCGCGGTGCGGTCGCCGAGACTGCCGTCGCGATGCGGCGGCGGCGGCGGCGTCGGTAGAAGCGCACCGGGCGGCGACAGCGCGGGGCACCACGAGTGTGACGCGCGTCCACGGCGGGAGGTCCCCGGGGAGGAACACGGACGCCGAGCGGAGCTCCGGGCCGAGGCCCTCGCAGCCGGCACCGCCAGGCCCCGCCGGCAGGCACGCCTCGTGCACCAGCGCCCACGAGCGGCCCGAGTCGTGGGAGAACTGCACCATCACCGCACCGCTCGCGTCCCCCGCGGCAACGCCGCCGGAGCCCTCCCGCCCGCCGTCCGGTCGGCAAGCGATGTTCAGCTGCGGCGGTACAAAGCGGGCACTGGGATTGGCGCTAGCACGGACCTGCAGTAGCAGGGGCAGCAGCAGGAGCAGGAGCAGCAGCAGATGGAGCAGCAAGGTTCGGCGTTCAGCGCTCTGCGCTATCCGCAAGAGGATGGGCGTTATTCACGCCGGTCCGTGCGGGAATGACCCCATGGTTCTCACCCCGTTCGAGCAATAACCCCCCTTCCCCCCACCCCCCACTGCCATAGAACCCCCCAGGGCGGGGTCATACCTCGGGGGGGGGGGGGGGGGGTCACCTTGAACTGCAGCGAGTGTCCGGGCTTGACGTCGAGGTCGCGGGTCACGGCGTAGCGGTTCCCCTGCGCGAGGCCGAACACCAGCGCCGTCGGCGACGGGGGTGAGCACAGGTCCTCCTCGTCGCCGTGGCGACCCTCGTTGGCCGTCGTCAGCCAGATGCTGGGAGGGGACGCGGCGGCCGGGCGCGACGCCCCCCTCGGGGTCAGCTGGGAGGTCAGGCGGGAGCGGCGACAACACCACGCGGAGACAAAGTTCCCCCCGGATAGCCTTCGAGCGGCCGTCGGGGCAAGTGCCGTTAGCGAGCGGCACCTGTGAATGTCGGCGTGGCGTGGCCGGAACCACGCCCGGCCAAATTGGTTTCCCCAGCGCTGATGTTTGCACGCACGCACGCACATACACACACGCTCACACACAGCAACAAGTACCAGGGGAGGCCCAGGACTGGAACGGTGTTAGCAGCCGTGAGCGGGAATTGAACCCGGGTGGCCTGGTTCGTGGCGCTAACCACGACACCACCGCGTACGCGGGTTCACTACGCACACAGATAAAGATCCCCCCCATTGGCTAACACACTCTGTTGGGGCAAGGACTCCTTACCGGTCCCCTCTAAGGAGACCCCTGCGTATAGGGGGGTAGGGGAAGGGGGGGGGGTGAGGAGAGACCTGGTCCCTGGGCAGCGAGGCCTCGGTGGGGAAGAAGTTGAGGCCGGCCTCCCCGCTCACGATGATGTCGTCGATTGCCCACTGGTCCTGCCCGAAGCCCGAGTGCGCCGGCTGCCACCAGCGCAAGCGGGCGCAGGGAGCGCGGGCGGCCGGGGGCACCGCCTGGTGCACGAACCTGCGGCACGCAGAGACGTGCCGCGCGTCAGCACGGGCAGCAGCAGCAAGATCGTCATCATCGTCAGCATCATCGTCGCGATCAGCAGCAACACGATCAACAACACCAACAGCACCATCGGTACCATCATTAACAGCAGTACCATCACCACAATCATCAATATCGTTGAGAGCGCACGGGGAGAACACCACACCAACAATGCCAACAGCAGAACTGTTGGGTGCAGCCGGCACCTGGCCTGGGTGTAGTCGCGGTAGTGCAGCTCAAGCAGCAGCGTCCAGGTGGCACCGCCGTCCGTGCTGAACTGCAGGAGGACGCCCTCCTCACGCCGCTCCGCCCCGGCGCAGGCGGCGCCCGCGGGGCCCCCGCCCAGACGCAGCCAGAACTGCACGAAGTCGGCGCCGCGCGTGTCCATGTCGGCGCTCACCAGACGGCGCACGCCGCCCTGCGGGAGTGCCGGAGACGGCGCGCCGGCGTCGTCGGCGCGGGCGGCAACATTACCACCGGTGCTGCGTGGACTCCTACGCCCGAACTGAACCGACGCCGGAGGTACGGCGCCGGTACCGACGGCACGCCGGCGCCAGGGCCAGTGGTGCCGAGTTGCCCGCTTGTTGCAGAGGCTCACGGTTCGGATTCCAGCGGCCACCTCGATAAATATCTTTGCGCGTAACAACAAATAGCTGCCGCTTTGTAGGGAGGTCTATGGATAGACTCGCCCCCACCCCGCCCCACAACAGCAATGTGGAATTTCCATCACCGGTGTGCGTGCGTGCGTGCGTAGGCGTGCGGAGCGCGCGGTGCCACCTTGAAGAAGTAAATGGAGTTGCCGGCGGCAACGACGCCGCAGGCCCGCTCCGGGGGCCGCACCTCCCCCCCGTCGACGGCCGCCCACGGAGGCCCGGCCGCCCCTCCCCACGCCCCCGGGGGATCCTCGTCGAAGGTGGCGTGCAGCCGACGTTGGCAGCGCCTCCACGGGCAGACAGCTGGGGCCTTCGTAGCCCAGGTCGCAGCTACCGGCACACATCGTCGTTATCGTCGTCGTCGTCATCGTCACGAGTCATTCTCAGTTTAACACGTAGGCTTTCGCGACCAATATTATCCATAATATAGGGATATTTTTGGGGTTAGATTGCGTAAATATAAATGTGTCGTTAAACCCAGCACCACCCGCCTGATGATACGAGATATAATCACCAGCGAAACATTGTACTTGAATTGTAAATGTTGTGGGTTTATTCTCCAAAACACCAGTGTGCTGTACTAGCAACTAATTGACATGTTCTGTTTATGTGACACATTTACATTTTCGCGATCTAACCCAACAAAAACCTCTATTATGGATACTCAGTATCATAAGCATCATCACAACATCATCATGAACACTGGCCTCATCATTGTCATTATCATCTTCACCTTTTGTCATCATAATCATCATCAGCATGATCATCATCATCAATCATCTTCATGACCAGGGCTTAATTTCTCACTCCAGGTCACAGTTTGACCATAGTAGGTGGCACGTGACTATCAATCGCCACAACCACAGCGACAGGAGACATACTGGATGTGGTGTGCCGGGTGTGGAAATATTTTCTGGGTCACCAACCTGGACAGACCCGACTGAAATGAATCACCGATTAACAAACAGCATTGCCCACATAATCACAATCTCCACACCCGCACGCCCGCCACACCCGCATGCCCGCCACACCCGCACGCCCGCCACACCCGCACGCCCGCCACACCCGCACGCCCGCCACACCCGCACGCCCGTCACACCCGCACGCCCGCCACACCCGCACGCCCGCCACACCCACACACCCGCCACACCCGCACGCCCGCCACACCTGCACGCCCGTCACACCCGCACGCCCGCCACACCCGCACGCCCGCCACACCCGCACGCCCGCCACACCCGCACGCCCGCCACACCCGCACGCCCGCCACACCCGCACGCCCGCCACACCCGCACGCCCGCCACACCCGCACGCCCGCCACACCTGCACGTGCCATGGTGGCACTGCCCATGGTTGTGGCAGGCCTCGGGGCACTGCTGCCCCACGTAGAGGCTGCCCAGCGCCCAGCTGTGCTCCTCCAGGGAGTGTCCCGGCCAGCTGTGCTCCTCCCAGCTGAGCACCTCCCAGCCGTGCTCCCCCCCGCCAGGCTGCGCCTCGCTCCAGCGGAAACGCGTCGCTCCGGACCTGCGGCGAGTCACGCTCGCTCAGCTACGCGCACACACAGCTACACACACAGCTACACGCACAGCTACACGCACAGAGCTACACGCACAGCTACACGCACAGAGCTAGGAGTGTGCGGGCACACTCACAGAGAGAGCGCCGAATAGCTTCCATGCTCCGGTGCCAGCGTTCGGGGTCCCTCTGCCAATCCCCCAAGCGAGCCGCCCTCCTCCTCATCCCCGAGTCCTGACAGCAGCGCTCGACCTGACGCAGTTCTCTTCCTCCCCCCTCTCCAGCTCCCTCCACCCCCCCAGCCCCCTCAGAGCACACACGGCCGCGGCTGAGAACACCGCCCACCCACCAGCTCACCAGGCGTGTGTGTGAGTGTGTGTGTGGGAGCTCACCAGGCGTGTGTGTGAGTGTGTGTGTGTCAGTGTGTGTGTGAGTGTGTGTGTGTGAGTGTGTGTGTGGGAGCTCACCAGGCGTGTGTGTGAGTGTGTGTGTGTCAGTGTGTGTGTGAGTGTGTGTGTGAGTGTGTGTGTGGGAGCTCACCAGGCGTGTGTGTGAGTGTGTGTGTGTGTCAGTGTGTGTCAGTGTGTGTGTGAGTGTGTGTGTGAGTGTGTGTGTGGGAGCTCACCAGGTGTGCTGGGGGAGGCCGATGGTGACGCGGCTCCAGCTGGAGCGCTCCGACGAGCGGTAGACGCTCGCCGACGCAAACTCCCCGCAGCTCGGAGCGCCCGGCAGGCAATCCTGGAAGGCGGGTCGCAGGTCAAGGTTCGGGGTCACGGACCTACAAACCGCAACCTCTGCCTCTCACGGTTAGAGGTACAGAGGCCTCTGCTGCTTTGCTGCCCCCACCGTCTGGAACTCCCTCCCCCCCCGCACTGTTGACTCCGTGTCCCGAGTCCAGGCTCAATCCATTCTAGATTGAAAACTCTTTTCTTTGAAACTGCTTGTTGTTGTGTTTAGTTTGTTGTCCTTCCCCCGCACCTCCGATGAGCACGGTTGGCTACGTACGGTGCAAAAAAAGTTCAATATACATACATCAACTGACTCATCCACCGGAGTTAAAGACGAAGGGGGGAGGGGGGGTTGGGGGGCAAGCGGCACCTCTTGGACGAGGTGCCACGAGAGGCCGTGATTGGTGGAGAACTCGAGCCGCACGCCAACGCCACCCTCGCCGTCGTCGCCGCCGCCGTCGTCGTCGCCGGGAGCGGCACCCCCCCCCACGCAGCCGAGCGCCATCTCGAACTGCAGGGCGTACCAAGCGCCCACCTGCAGCGGCTGCGTCTCCACGTAGCGCGCGCTGGCCCCCGAGCTGGAGCCGGAGAAACTGGGGCGGCGCGCGCGGAGAGACGAGGGCGGGGGGAGATGCGGGGAAGCGCATGGGGGGGGAGGAGCGGGCAGATGCGCGTTCGACGTTGTGTGTGATGACGTCGTCGCGCACGAAGTGTGACATCATCGCCTTGGCCGACAAGGCTTGCCCTTGGAGTGCTCGTTTTTGCTGCCCTGCTCAAGCTTGCATCTCGTGTTGAAACATCGGCAGAAATGTATGCACTTGTGCAATTTGTACTTATCGACTCGATAATCTTTACAATACTTTGCACTCCTATCGTTGTATTTGTATCTTTTGATGTTGTGACTTGCTGACCCACCCCTACTGGACATCTGTGCAAAAGTTCTCCTCCAGCCTAAATAAAGATTCTGAATCCGACAAGAAGTTTGACGGCGAGTGAGTCGGAGGGCGAGCCGGTGGGCCGGCCGCTCACCTGAGTGTGACGCCGCGCCCGCAGTACGGCGCCAGCCGCCCCAGGTGGAAGGTGAGCGCCTGCGCCACGGCGGCGGCGTCGCCAAAGTCGACGCTAACGGCGCTGAAGAGCTCCTCGGCCATCGCCAGCTCGTCCAGCGCCCACACGTCGCGGCCCGGCGCCCGAGTGCCGCGGCTGCCACCAGCGGAACTGCACGCCGTAGCGCCGCGCGCCGGCGGGCAGCTCCACCGTCACGATGCTGCGCTCGGGCACGATGTGGGAACGCGTGGGCGAGCGAGTGACGTCATAGGAAGTGACATCACGTCCGTGACGCCATGGGGACAAACGCGATATCACTTGTCACTCAGATTATTACAAGTGCAAACATGTTGGATGTTTCAATCGGGCAACAAACCGAAATCCAATTAAAATTTGGTACGAAAATTTAATCAAATCTAACATCAGAAAAAGTGATATCTGAAACTCATCATGAGTTCACACACACGCGTACAGCGGATAGAGACACAGACAGACAGCCAGATAGACACACAGTTAAACAGACAAGAAAACTAACAGACACACACAGAGAGAACAGGCAGCCAGACAAGCAGACACAGCGCGGCAGAAAGACAAATCAGTAGACAGACACACGGACAGACACGCGGACAGACACACGGACAGACATACAGGCAGGTCAGTCAGGGCACGGGGGGGCGGGGGGGGGGTCGCTACCGGGGCTCGCGGTAGTCGGGGGGCCGATACTGCGCCAGCAAGGTCCAGCTGACCCCGTTGTTGGGGGAGTAGTGGAGCAGCACCCCCTCCGAGGGGGCGTCCGGCGCCCGGCAGCCGCCCAGCTCGGAGCGGCAGCCGAGACGCAGCGCAAACTGCAGGTACCTGACACCCGCGCGGCACCAATGGGGGAGCAAACAGGTGAGTGAGTGAGTGAGTGGATGGGTGGGTGAGTAGGTGGGTGGGCGAGTGAGTGGATGGGTGAGCGGGTGAGTGAGTGGATGGGTGGGTGAGTAGGTGGGTGGGCAAGTGAGTGGATGGGTGAGTGGGTGAGTGAGTGGATGGGTGAGCGGGTGAGTGAGTGGATGAGTGGGTGAGTGGATGGGTGAATGGGTGAGTGAGTGGATGGATGGGTGGGTTGGTGGGTGGGTGAGTGAGTAGATGGGAGTGGGTGAGTGAGTGGGTTAGTGAGTGGATGGGTGGGTGAATGACTGGGCAGCCGAATGGGTGGGTGGGTGGGCACCTGCTCACCACTCACCTGGCTGTGCTGCTATCCAGGTGAGTGGTGAGCAGGTGACGTGGCCCGTCTTTGCTGAACACCAGAGACTTTCCCGTGGCGAGCACACCGCACACGAAGCCCACCTGCTCACCGCATACACCCACATCGTCCGCCACATACGCACACACACAAAGACAAAGATTCCCCGCGTGGCCCTTAAAACTGGAGAGGCAAGTGCCGTTCGCGAACACCTAGTGGGGTCAGAACCATACCCAGCCGCCTTTGTCTCACCAGTGATGATGTGTACACACTACACCAGGTACTCATTTGAAGCGGAGTTGACCTCGGAGAGGACACAAGAGGGAATCGAACTCAGGCCTCATTTCAGCCGGGTCTGTCCGGATCGGCGATGCAAATAATATTTCCGGAACCTGGCAGACCATATCCTGCAAGCAGTTGTTCTTGCGCCGATTTTTCTTTGCTTCATTGCCGTTCCTTTATGTGTATTGATTATGCTTTTGTCGTTTTGGAGACTGCAGGCGGTGACTCCAGCGGGTGAGACTCATCCTGCCGGTCTCACCCAGTCCACCGAAATCACCGTCAACCAGACGCCCCTCGCTCCAGCTGTGGCCGCTCGCCAGCGACCGGGGTGCTGTCCGCCGACAACCAAAATCCCTGGCCGCGAGGAGGGGAGCCGCGCCACTCCGCCCGGCACGCACCGGCACCGCGGCACGCACCTGCGCCCCGGCCACGGACAAGAAGGAGGAGAGTCCGGGCAGCGGCGGAGTCTGGAAGCTCTCGGAGAGGAAGGGCGGCAGCACCCGCGACGTCTCCTCGCACGCCTCGCCCGAGAAGCCCGCGTCGCAGCTGCCCACGGGGACACACGGAGACACACGGGGACACACGGGGACACACGGGGACACGTGAACCACGGGGACAAGGGGACCACGGGGACCACGGGAACACGTGGACCACGGGAACAAGGGGACCACGGGGACAACGAAGACATATGGGGAGAAGAGAGTCCCAGAGACTCACAGGGCCGGACGGGGATGCACAGGGGGCAGGGGAGTAGGTCACGGGAGACAGGGGGACAACGGAGGAGGTGACGCAGACAACACGCGGGGATGCACCGGGATGAGTGGGGATGCACGAGGGGACGTGTGGAGTTGTGTGACTGTGTGAGGATGCAAAGGGAACGTGAGGATAGATAAATGCAGAGGAGCAGCAGCAGGAGGGGGCAGCTGCATCACTCACAGGCATCCCGAGTCCGTGCACTGCCCTTGGCCCGAGCACAGCTCAGGGCAGGCAGGCCCGATGTAGACTGCACACGCACAAGACAAAGGTCAAGACATCCCTCTGAAATGGTTCGATAGAGGCGCACACGCCATAATAGGGAGGCAACACTATTTAGCAACTAACACGACGGTTAACTCTTAACAGTATACATAGTACACATAGGGTGGTGACCACTGACCTATTCTCTCTAGCACTGACACTCTGACACGCCTGGCGTGGACCAAGCCAGGAGGGCTACTGCTTGGCCACGCTGACTGGAAGCTTCTCTTCACTCTTCACGAGGCGTCTTCATCCCGGAACCGAGAAGCCCCGCACCTCGTGCGGAGGCACCTTATATGCGCCTCGGCGTGGCCAGGCCACCTACCAACCCTCGAGAAGGCTCTGCCTCTAGCACGTGGCCCCCAAGGTCCCCCTGGGCCCCCCGGCCCCCACCTTAATCCGGTCACGTGTCAGGCCGGGTTCATACAGAGTGCCACGGCCTCACACAACCCCCGTGGCACCGACCGACGGCCTCCAGACTCCCCGACCCGGCCGTGACGTCATTCCCACATCCACACGTAGTGACGTCATGTGTGTGTGCAGACTCACACGGTAGTGACGTTGCAAATCACTACACCTCTATAGCCTTGATAGACTGTTGGGGAAAGTGCTGTTAGCTCACAAATACACACATGATGCAGACACACACAGGAGGTGGGAATGGTGTTGGTTGTGCTGGTGGCAGTGATGGTGCTGGTGATGGCTTTGGCACGAGTTCTGGTGTTGGTGGTAGTGGTGGTAGTGATGGTGTTGGTGGTAGTGGTGGTAGTAATGGTGTTGGTGATAGTGGTGGTAGTGATGGTAGTGGTGGAAGTGCTGGTGGTGGTGGTGGTATTTGTGCTGGTGGTGGTAGGGATGGAATTTGTGCTGGTGGTGGTAGTGCTGGTGGTGGTGCTGGTGGTAGTGGTGGTAGTGATGGTGTTGGTGGTAGTGGTGGTAGTGATGGTGTTGGTAGTAGTGGTGGTGTTGGTGGTAGTGGTGGTAGTGATGGTGTTGGTAGTAGTGGTGGTGTTGGTGGTAGTGGTGGTAGTGATGGTGTTGGTAGTAGTGGTGGTGTTGGTGGTAGTGGTGGTAGTGATGGTGTTGGTGGTAGTGTTGGTGTTGGTGGTAGTGGTGGTAGTGATGGTGTTGGTGGTAGTGGTGGTGTTTGGTGGTAGCGATGGTGTTGGTGGTAGTGGTGGTAGCGATGGTGTTGGTGGTAGTGGTGGTAGCGATGGTATTTGTGCTGGTGGTGGTAGTGCTGGTGGTGGTAGTGCTGGTGGTGGTGGTGCTGGTGGTGCTGGTGGTGGCGGCGAGGGCACCGTTGTCGATGGCCCAGGCGGTGCCATTCCCCGTGTGCTCGAGGCTCCAGCGGAACCGCGTCCACGGGGAGACGGCCACCAGGGGCAGCGGCACCGTCACACGCGACCAGCTGCAGCGCAACCACGGCACAACCACACGCACGCAATCGCACGCAACCACACAACCACACAACACACGCACGCAATCACACACAACCACACAACCCCCCCACACACGCGCAATCGCACACAACCACACAACCCCCCAACACACGCACGCAACCACGTGCATGCAATCACATGCACACAACCACATGCATGTGCGGCATAATTACATGCATCCCACAAACGCGGTGCTGCGTGGTGATGTATACTGCTGCTTTAGTGGTGTGGTATACTTGGTAGCTGTGTGACAGGCAGATGGTGTGGTGTCATGTAGGGTGGTTTGTGTGGTTGGTGGTGAGGTTGGTGGTGTGGTTGGTGGTGAGGTTGGTGGTGTGGTTGGTGGTGTGGTTGGTGGTGTGGTTGGTGAGGTTGGTGGTGAGGTTGGTGGTGTGGTTGGTGGTGAGGTTGGTGGTGAGGTTGGTGGTGAGGTTGGTGGTGAGGTTGGTGGTGTGGTTGGTGGTGAGGTTTGTGGTATGGTTGGTGAGGTTGGTGGTGAGGTTGGTGGTGTGGTTGGTGGTCTGGTTGGTGGTGAGGTTGGTGGTGAGGTTGGTGGTGTGGTTGGTGGTGAGGTTGGTGGTGAGGTTGGTGGTGAGGTTGGTGGTCAGGTTGGTGGTGAGGTTGGTGGTGAGGTTGGTGGTGAGGTTGGTGGTGTGGTTGGTGGTGAGGTTGGTGGTGAGGTTGGTGGTGAGGTTGGTGGTGTGGTTGGTGGTGAGGTTGGTGGTGAGGTTGGTGGTCTGGTTGGTGGTGAGGTTGGTGGTGAGGTTGGTGGTGTGGTTGGTGGTGTGGTTGGTGGTGAGGTTGGTGGTGATGGTTGGTGGTGTAGGTTGGTGGTGTGGTTGGTTGGTGGGTTGGTGGTGGTCTGGTTGGTGGTGAGTTGGTGGTGTGGTTGGTGGTGTGGTTGGTGAGGTTGGTGGTGAGGTTGGTGGTGTGGTTGGTGGTGTGGTTGGTGGTCTGGTTGGTGGTGTGGTTGATGGTCTGGTTGGTGGTGTGGTTGGTGGTGTGGTTGGTGTGGTTGGTGGGTGGTTGATGGTCTGGTTGGTGGTGCGGTTGGTGTGTGGTTGGTGGTGTGGTTGGTGGCGTGGTTGGTGGTGTGGTAGGTGGTGTGGTTGGTGGTGTGGTAGGTGGTGTGGTAGGTGGAGTGGTAGGTGGTGTGGTTGTGGTGTGGTTGGTGGTGTGGTTGTGTGGTTGTGGTTGGTGGTGTGGTTGGTGGTGTGGTTGAGTGGTGTGGTTGGTGGCTGGGTTGGTGGTGAGGTTGGTGGTGAGGTTGGTGGTCTGGTTGGTGGTGTGGTTGGTGGTGTGGTTGGTGGTGGGTTGGTGGTGTGGTTGGTGGTGTGGTTGGGTTGGTTGGTGGTGTGGTTGGTGGTGAGGTTGGTGGTGAGGTTGGTGGTCTGGTTGGTGGTGTGGTGTGTGGTTGGTGTGGGGGTTGGTGGTGTGGTTGGTGGTGAGGTTGGTGGTGGGTTGGTGGTGTGGTTGGTGGTGTGGTTGGTGGGGTGGTTGTGGTGTGGTTGGTGGTCTGGTTGGTGGTGTGGTTGGTGGTGTGGTTGGTGGTGAGGTTGGTGGTGAGGTTGGTGGTCTGGTTGGTGGTGAGGTTGGTGGTGTGGTTGGTGGTGAGGTTGGTGGTGGTTGGTGGTCTGGTTGGTGGTGTGGTCTGGTTGGTGTGGTTGGTGGTGTGGTTGGTTGTGTGGTTGGTGGGTGGTTGGTGGTCTGGTTGGTGGTGTGGTTGGTGGTGTGGTTGGTGGTGAGGTTGGTGGTGAGGTTGGTGGTGTGGTTGGGGTGAGGTTGGTGGTGAGGTTGGTGGTCTGGTTGGTGGTGTGGTTGGTGTGTGGTTGGTGGTGAGGTTGGTGGTGTGGTTGGTGGTGTGGTCTGGTTGGTGTGGTTGGTGGTCTGGTTGGTGGTGTGGTCTGGTTGGTGGTGTGGTTGGTGGTGAGGTTGGTGGTGTGGTTGGTGGTGAGGTTGATGGTGTGGTTGGTGGTGTGGTTGGTGGTCTGGTTGGTGGTCTGGTTGGTGGTGTGGTTGGAGGTGTGGTTGGTGGTGTGGTTGGTGGTCTGGTTGGTGGTCTGGTTGGAGGTGTGGTTGGTGGTGTGGTTGGTGGTCTGGTTGGTGGTCTGGTTGGTGGTGTGGTTGGTGGTGTGGTTGGTGGTGTGGTTGGTGGTCTGGTTGGTGTGGTACCCCGTGTAGCTGTGAGCCGGATAGACGGTGCGGTGCGGTTGGTGCGGTCCCTCGCACTCCCCAGGGAGGCACTCTGAGAGTAGGAGGTTCCAGGAGCGGCCCTGGTCCGTGGAAAACTCCAACCTCACGCTGGGCACAGACAGAGGGGGGGGGGGGGGGGAGACGGCAGTCGCGCTTCCACAGCCACCACAGAGCGGACTCGAGCCGTGCCGCGCTACGCTTGGGGGCCACCATCCCCACCTGGTTGAAGCAGACAGCATTGTTATTGCGGACATAACACTTACCCAGGGTGGCCGGTGGATTCGAACCACAAACCTCTGCGACAGGCGGCGAATGTGTTAGATTCCCAGGCCCTGGCTGAGGGCATTGTCCCGAGTCGCTGTTGAGTCGCTGGTGAGTCGTGGGTGAGTCGCTGACCACATTTGGTCAGTAACTATTCACATCCCACCACCCCTCACCTGGAGTCCGACGTTTCGACACCACAGCCCATGCTGAGCGAGAACTGCAGGAGGTGCGTGGGGCGCGGGGGTGCGGGGGGCAGCAGCGCCACGCGGTCCAGCGCCCACACGTCGCGACCGGGCCCCCCGTGCGCCGCCTGCGCCACGCAGAACCTCACGGCGGGCCGGTGCCATGCGGGAGGGATCGCCACGGAGACCGGGCTGGGTACCTGGGGCACAGGGACCGGCGTTGCCATGACAACAGCAGCAGCAGCAGAGTGAGATGTGCAGAAACATCCATTAATGTTCTGTGCTCCTATGCTCTTACGTCCATGCTCCCCATCTACACCAACCCAAAATGGTGAAGTATGGTCAATTAATCCTCTGCATGACGTGGAGAGGCGCTCATCCGGCAGTGGAGTGACCGGTGGTTGCAGTATGTAACGATGCATATGATTGGGGCGGTGGTGGTGACAGTGGTGGTGGTGGGGGCAACGGTGGTGGTAGTGGGGGCGGTGATGGTGGTAGTGGGGATGACAGTGGTGGTGATGGTGGTAGTGGGGATGACAGTGGTGGTGGTGGGGGCAATGGTGATGGTAGTGGGGGCGGTGATGGTGATATTGGGGATGACAGTGGTGGCGGTGGTGGTGGCGGTGATGGTGGTAGTGGGGATGACAGTGGTGGTGGTGGGGGCAATGGTGATGGTAGTGGGGGCGGTGATGGTGATATTGGGGATGACAGTGGTGGTGGTGGTGGCGGTGATGGTGGTAGTGGGGATGACAGTGGTGGTGGTGGTGATGGCAGTGGTGATAGCGGTGGTGATGGTGGTGGTGACGGTGACGGTGGTGGTGGTGATGGCGGTGGTGGTGATGGTGGTGAGGCTCGAGGATCGTGGCAACCACGGGGAGCGACCGACCCGGTATTCGCCGCGCAGCATCGTCTCCAGCAGCACCTCATCCCCAGCCGCACCGCGGATGGACACGGAGACGGCGTGGTGTGGCCAGGCCACGGGGTCGCACGCACCTCCACCTGGGCACACACACACACAGAGTGTACTCACGCACGCACATCATGTCACGGTGTCACCTGGTGGGCGCTCGAGAGACGCGGCGTGGCGCTTCGGAGCCGGCGTGCCTTACCCGTGCTGTAGTGGAAGCGCAGGCTGCCGGCAGCGGTGGTGTTCAGGGGTGGGGTGCACGCCTCCCTGGGCCCGGGGCCCTGCATTACCAGGGCCCTGCCGGACGTCGGCACCCCCCCACACGCGGAGCTCGGCGCTCCTCCGGTCACCGTCCAACTGAGGGGGTTTGAGGGGGAGGGAGGGCGGTGGTGGGGAAGTGGGGGGGGGGGGGAGCACCCAGCACACAACACTTAGCCAGATCTAAGTGTTGAGATGACTGGCAGATGCACCACCTATGCTCCCCACTGTGCCAATTTTGCTGCGCTGTTGCGAGTGTCGCTCCACTGTTGTTGGAGGGCGACTGCCTCCAACTGTCCAGTAGCGTCCTCCATTGACGCCGATCTTGACACCGCTGGTATCGGCCATTGGCAAGTCCACTCCTCCTGTATGGCATCAGCTCCGTCTCATCTCCGACCGTGAGCATGTGAGCACGTGAGAGAGTGAGTGGGAGAGTGAGTGAGCGGGCGAGTGAGTGAGAAGATGAATAAGCAAGTAGGTGAGCTCCGATCGATTCACTGACCCTAGAGGCTCCGACTCGAACTCCTCCTGCCACAGTCGCCCCTCGTCCTCCTCTCCCTCCGGCCGCCCCCTCTGCAGGTCGAGGTCGCGAGTCGCGGCGAACCCCCCCGGGCCCCCACCCTCCATCGCCGGGAAGAACAGGCAGTCCCCGTCCGACTGGCAGCTGTGCTGTGGCAAGCGCGTGCACGTGCGCACGTATACGCGCACGTGTACGCGCACGTGTACGCGCGCGGGCACACAAAGCCTCAACAAACTCTTGGGGCAAATGCTGTGAGCGAGCACCTATGAAGGTCAACGACTACGAAGGTCGGGATGGCACACGAAGGGGCGGGTGGCCAGCACCACGCCCGGCCGCCTTTGTCTCCCCAGTGCTGATATTTACACACCGCACCAGATGCTCATTTAAAGCCAAGCCAGGATGAGTTAAAATATTCGCCACTATTATTGGTCGAGGGTGAGAATCGAACTCTGACCATTGGATTCGTAGCGCGGTGTGCTAACCGCTGCACCACCGCTCTTCAGCCTCACACACAAAGACAAAGGTCCCCTGTATAGCTTTAACATACTGTTGGGGCAAGTGCCCCACGTGCATGCAAGCACACACACGTGCACACACCTTGACGACGGCTCCGGGGAAGAAAAGCCAGTTGCCCGTGTGGAGAGGGTCCATGTCGTCCTGCAGGCCGGAGGGCCGCTGGGCGCCACCGGCCACCAGCACGTGGTCCAGGCCCCAGCAGCCGGCCGAGGCCGTGGCGCGTGGCTCCTCTTGCTGCTGCTGGCTCCAGCGCAGCGCCACGCCGGCTGCTCGCGCCGCCCAGGGCAGCGGCACCAGGTGAACTACGGCACGGGGGCTACCAGGGGCTCTGCACGATCACACAGAAACACAGACAAATGTCCCCCGTGTAGTCTTTACAGACTGTCGGGGCAAGTGCTGTTAGCGAGCAGCACCTATGAAGGCCAGGACAGCACAAGAAGGGGCGGGTGGCCAGCATCACGCCCGGCCGCCTTTGTCTCCTTCGTGGCGATGTTTACACACCGCACCATGGATCTCATTTGAGATCGCGTTGACCCGTACGTGATCACCACGCACGCACACTCATACTTAGACTCGCTCGCACATCTACGCGCTCACACCTTTACGCGCGCCGTGTCGTGTGTGCTGCAGCTGACCTGATCCTCTCCAGCTCGGTCCAGCGAGTCGATGGGTCGGGGGGTCTCCGTGCGTGAACGAGACCACGATTGGGGGGCCCTCCTCGCCGCTACTGCACTGCCCTGCACCTGCACGGAAAGGGGGGTGCAGGCGTGGGCTGAATGAGCGTCTCCACATGAATATCTGGTGCGGTGTGGAAACATCACCGCTCGGGAGATAAAGGCGGCCGGGCATGGTGCTGGCCACCCACCCCCCTCGTGTGTCGTGCCAACCTTCATTAGGTGCTCGCTAACAGCACTTACCCCAAGTCTGTGAAGGCTATACAGGGATCTTTGAGTGAATGCAAGTAAGTGTGAGAGTGTGAATGTTGGTGGGTGAGGCGTACGCGTGCGAGCGTGTTAGTGCGTGAGTGCGTTAGTTTGTGTGTGTGTGTGACGTAACATAGACTCACACTCAGAACTCGTGGGTGCCTGCACTCACGCCAGACGAACATCAACAACAAGAGCTGCCATTCGCCAGTAAGCGGCAGTGACATCACCACGGCACTTGTGCCAGGCCAGGTGCACTTTGAGGCCACGTGTCGAAGGCTCGCTGACAGGAGCTCACGGGACAGACCCAGCAGGTGCCATGGGGTTGACCAACTGAGATGACTGGCAGATGGACCCAGCTGTACCCCCTACCGTACCAACACAGACCGACACAACTCTCGCACACACACGCTTGCTCGCACGTGGACACACGCAGACCCACGGGCTCCGAGCGTGGGTCTGCGTGTGTCCACGTGTGTGGCGCTCACCCAGGGAGAACTGCAGCACCGTGGCGGACGTGGCGTTGAGTGGCACCGTGGTCTGCAAACAGCAGAGAAGCACAAAACGCCGCGACCGCAGTCACGCTCGCTGACTCTGTCTCCCGGCGAGGCAGTGTCAACTGAAACTAAACTCCTTTTATTTTTATCATCATCACGTGGAAATCTATAGCAGCCAAATACTGCGAACGCGTGAAGTTGTTTTTAAATGCGGAGGGAAAACTGGAGGACCCAGAGTAAAATTCACGCGGTTAATGGGGGTCAAGCTTTTTAAACAGCCCCCCCCCCAAATCACCCATCCCCCCACCCAGCTGCATAAATTAGTGCAGCAGCCACGACGAGCCTCGATGGTCAGGTGGTGGGGCAGAGCGTGGGTACTCCGACGTTTTCCAAGACGTCTGGCTGCATTGAAGCGACATTCTGCAGTAGAACGTCGCTACAATGCAGTGGAGAGGTTGTGGGTGTGGGGGGGGGGGCATCCCGTTGGGTCCGGGGACCCTCCCCCATCTGTAACGGGGTGGGGGAGGAGGGGGCGCGTTGGCGACTACGGCAGCCGAAGCGGCGCTGGCTCCCGCTCCCTGGGTTGGCTTTGAGGAAGCAGGCAGCGGAGGTCTGCGCGGTGCCGCGGTGCCGCGGTGCCGCGCTGCGATCGGGGATCTGGGTAATTCCGAGCAGATGTGGGCGGCACACACCCGGCAGCCGTTCATCACGCACGGACCTCGTTCCACCTCCTCCCACCTCCTCCCTTAGTCTCCCCCGAGTCTTCCACCTCCTCTACTCGTCTCCCCTTAGCCTCCCACCACTTGCTGCCAATGTCAATGCCTCCCACCATCTTACTCCCGCCCCCTCTTCACTTTTACGAATCTCTCACGTTCTTGCAGCAGAACCCTCCACCAACTCCCTCCACCATCCCAGGTCTCCCACCACCTCCCTCCACCACCTCCCCAGGTCTCTCACCACCACCTCCCACCACCTCCCCAGGTCTCCCACCACCACCTCCCCAGGTCTCCCACCACCACCTCCCCAGGTCTCCCACCACCTCCCTCCACCACCTCCCCAGGTCTCCCACCACCACCTCCCACCACCATCCCAGGTCTCCCACCACCTCCCACCACCACCTCCCACCACCATCCCAGGTCTCCCACCACCTCCTGCGTCCTCCTGCTGCCCTCAGGCTCTGTTGTGCGAGCCGCGCTTCCTCTGGAACGCTCCGTCTGCTTTGCTTTCCTAGCTCAGCCGGTTTCCCCCACCGCAGGGAATTAGGGTCAGCGTGAAGTCATAGACGCGAGCGCCTGTTCAGTTGCGTGTTCTAACTTCACAGGTCGGATGATGATGATGATGATGGCAATCGTTTGTTAAATGAAGGTGATGATTTGGTAGATTATGATGATGAATTGGTGGATGAGAATAATAATCATTGTGATGATGAGGGTTTGGTGGGTGATGTGGTAGTTGTGGTATGGAGGTAGTGGTGGTGTGGTGGTTGTGCTATGGTGGTAGTAGTGGAGGTGGTGGTGTGGTGGTTGTGGTATGGTGGTAGTAGTGGAGGTGGTGGTGTGGTGGTTGTGGTATGGAGGCAGTGGTGGAGGTGGTGGTGTGGTGGTAGTGGTGGAAGTGGTGGAGGTGGTGGTGTGGTTGTGTGTGGTGGTTGTGGTATGGTGGTAGTAGTGGAGGTGGTGGTGTGGTGGTTGTGGTATGGTGGTAGTAGTGGAGGTGGTGGTGTGGTGGTTGTGGTATGGAGGCAGTGGTGGAGGTGGTGGTGTGGTGGTAGTGGTGGAAGTGGTGGTGTGGTGGTTGTGGTATGGTGGTTGTGGTGGAGGTGGAGCTATAAGTACCAGTTCACGGGGCCCAGAGGTCTGGCAGAAGATGGCAGCGTTGCCATGCATTATGGGACCACAGAGGTCACTAACCTCACAGCCCTGGCAGCCTGACCTACACCCACACAACCACAACACGAGTACAACACAATCGCATTAATAATCCAACAACAACTGCATCAATAAAACAACCACGTCAGGATCTCAACCACAACCGCAACCGTGTGGCGTGTCGCTCAGCATGCCGGCGCCACTCACCAGAGGTCCGGGTTGAGGCCGAAATCCGAGTCAAAGTCGTCCCTGAGCTCCACGTCCTGGGAGTGAACTTCAGCTGCCGCCACGGGGTCATGGGAAGGTCAACAACATCAACAACAACCACAACAACAACATCAGCTATAACTACAACAACTAGATGCAGTCAAAGCCTAGGCTCGATCTGGGTGAGGGCTAGGGAGAGACTGGGGTAGTTTTATGGATCAGCTTTTGGTGTAGGGCACTGAGAGTAAGGATCGGGGGGATCCTGTTAAGAGTTGGGATTAGGGCTCATCTTCGAGGTGCTGTTAGCACTGGGGCTGGGGCTAGAGTTAAGGTCAGGGCTGGCTCTATGGGACTAGCCATCAGGATGCTCCGAGCGCTGGGGCTAGGATTTGTGCTGGCTCTACGGGGCGAGCGTTCAGGATGCTCCGAGCACTGGGGCCTGGCTCCAGGAGAACGCTCGCCCACCTCGCCGTGTGGATCTGGCCGCTGCCACTCACCGAGTTTGGGCCTCAGAGGAGCCGGGGTGGGAACTGAGGACAGGGAAACAGGCACAGGTCACAGGTCAGGCTGGTAGCAACCAACATCGTGTTTGTGATTACACATGTGTCTGTGTGTGTAATTACACGTGTGTGTCTGTGATTGCACGTGTGTGTGTGTGTTCACACGTGCATACGCTTGTGTGTGAGTGTGTATGCGAGTGGTGGCCATACCTCCATGCTCGCACAGCTGATGCACCACCGTGTCCTTAAACACGATCTGCCCACGCAGCGTGGCCGTGGCACTGAGTGAGAGACGGGGGGTGGGGCAGCATCACCAATGCCTTTCAACCACGACCTTGGTCGGTCCTGCCACAGAACCAGGACGGGCGCCCCACCATCGACCCTCTCCCTGACCCCCCCCCCTGACCCCTCCCATGACCCCCCCTGACCCCCCCATGACCCCCCTGACCCCCCCCTGACCCCCCCAGACCCCCCCTCCGTGCATTATAATCCAAGTGCGGTGGTGCACAGCTGTGCTCCAGGGAGTGGCAGGCAAGCCTGGATGAGTCTCGATTCCCTTTTCATGCCGAATTCAACCTGTCGCTGTGCCTCCTTGTTGCTGAGTAGAATGTGGCTGTGATGGAGGGGGGCACGGCTGTGATGGAGGGGGGCACGGCCGTTCTGCTCACAGGAAGCTGATGCATCCGGTGCCGGTGGGCGGCGCCGTCCAGGTGAAGGTGAGCGCCGTCTGCGGCCGCGGCGCCGCGTGGGACGCCACCACGCTGCACACGAAGCCCGAGCCTAACGGGCGGTCCGACGAGAAGCCTGCAGCGGGGAGCAGCGGCAGCAGGGAGCAGCGGCAGCAGGGAGCAGCGGCAGCAGGGAGCAGCGGCAGCGGGGAGCGGCGGCAGCGGGGAGCGGCGGCAGCAGGAGCGGCGGCAGCAGGGAGCGGCGGCAGCAGGGAGCGGCGGCAGCAGGGAGCGGCGGCAGCAGGGAGCGGCGGCAGCAGGGAGCGGCGGCAGCAGGGAGCGGCGGCAGCAGGGAGCGGCGGCAGCAGGGAGCGGCGGCAGCAGGGAGCGGCGGCAGCAGGGAGCGGCGGCAGCAGGGAGCGGCGGCAGCAGGGAGCGGCGGCAGCAGGGAGCGGCGGCAGCAGGGAGCGGCGGCAGCAGGGAGCGGCGGCAGCAGGGAGCGGCGGCAGCAGGGAGCAGCGGCAGCAGGAGCAGCGGCAGCAGGAGCAGCGGCAGCAGGAGCAGCGGCAGCAGGAGCAGCGGCAGCAGGAGCAGCGGCAGCAGGAGCAGCGGCAGCAGGGAGCAGCGGCAGCAGGAGCAGCGGCAGCAGGAGCAGCGGCAGCAGGGAGCGGCGGCACCAGGGAACGTCACGATTCCGTACACGCTGTGAGCCTGAGTCGTGGGATTGGGTGGTGCCCGTGCCCCGGGTCAAACTCGAGCTGCGCAGCCACGGCTCGAGGCGGACAACGAGGACAGTGACAGTGAAAACCGCGCAGCGGAGAGAAGTCGCAGGAATAGGAGGGGGGGGAGGAGGGGGCGGTGGGGGGGCACTCACCAACAGCAGAGAGCCCCCGAGAGTGGAACGCGTGGGGGCCCACAGCGGGGCCAGGCCCCGGGCTCGTGTAGAGGCCGGTCATGAGGAGGCCGTCAAAGCCGGTGCTGGTGCTCAGGGTCACTGCAGGCAGCGAGCGTACAAAGACAAAGGTCACCCGTGTAGCCTTTAACAGACTTGTTGGGGCAAATGCTGCGAGCGAGCAGCACCTACGAAGGGCCGGCACGACTCACCTATGAGGGGGTGGGACGTGGTTAGCGCTTCGCCCGGCCGCCTTTGTCTTCCCAATACCCACGTTTACAAAATTGCCTGAGTCGACCTAGGGGAGGCGCAGAAATTGTTCGGAAATTCTGGACACCGATGTTGGCCGTGGCTGGGAATCGAACTCGGCTCCCCGAGTTCGGGTTATAAATAAGCAGACAACAACGTCTCCTTCGCAAAGCCGCCCCTCCAGGTACTAAATGTTGTACACGTTCCATCAGCCACACGGCGGTGTAAGAGCACATCGATTCAGCAGCATCGGTTCAAGCGCAAGTAGCCTCCGGAGCGGTTTCATCTTTGTCTGGCAAAGAAAGTCCGTGCTGCACGTGCCTGGGTCTCTCCTCACCCCCCCCCAACCCCCGGCCTCCACTACTACACACACATACACGAGTCGCTGGACTCAGTCCAAACACCCCCCACCCACACACCTTGTCGTGGGGTCAGTGCGAGGCTGAGTAGCTCAGAGAGAGAGATCCCCGTCCTGGCAGCGCTGTGCAGCGATTAACCACATTGGCAGCATTCCTCACACCTCCCCTTCCCGTCCCAACGCTGTTTGGTAGCGCAACGCTCCAACAACGTTCCAACGGTTTAACACGGAGAAGGCTTTCACGACAAATATCATCCATAGTATCGGTTTATTGGGTTAGATCGCATAAATATGTGTCGTTAAACCCAGAGCAAATCCACAAATGCTGTGGCTTTGCTCTCCAACACAACCGGTGTGCTGTACTCGTGACGAATTGTCGTGTTCTGTTTACGTGACAAACCTTATTAATTGTCTGTGTCGGGTGGTGACGGGTTTAACGACACATTTATATATTTATGCGATCTAACCCAATAAACGTTCCAACAACGCTCCAACAACGTTCCAACAACGCTCCAACAACGTTCCAACAACGTTCCAACAACGCTCCAACAACGTTCCAACAACGCTCCAACAACGTTCCAACAACGCTCCAACAACGCTCCAACAACGTTCCAACAACGCTCCAACAACGCTCTGCACTGCAGCTGCGAGGCAACCTGCTGCCTTGCTGCAGTCGTTCGAGTGACTCGGAAGACGAATGCAGTGGGAGCTCAATCCACTCCTGAACAGGGCCCTCCTGAAAGGGTGACTCGAGGCTCAGTGGAGCCATCCTGGATTAATCCATTCACATTGTGGAGCGGTGGCACAGTGGTTGGTTGCACCGCACACTCTAAAGCCGGAAACCTCAGCGCAACTACCGGCCACGGCCAACGCGAGCCGCGAGTTGCGTCCCAAGCGGTCTCGGACCTCCACCCCGCTTCTCCAACCCCCGCACTGACCAGAGCGGCGAAGTATGGTCAAGCGACATCAACCGCCGTTCACCACTAAGCGGCAGTGACGTCACCACGGCGCTTGTGCCACGCTAGGTGCACTTTGGGGCCACGTGAGGTGTCGAAGGCTCGCTGGCAGGAGGAGGTCACGGGCAGGTCCCAGGTGCCGTGGGGGTTGACCGACTGAGATGACTGGCAGATGCACCACCATCAGCTGTGCTGCCCATAATTGTGCACCATCCAGCCGTGGCGAGAGAAACGAAGCTGTGCATGTTGTACAGGATCGCTATGATGATTTACACAGCCCGCACGGGCACACCTCGTCACAAAGAGGGACCCCCTCGTTACACAGAGGCGTGGGGTCAAGGGGTCACTTGTGGTCTCGAGCTAAACGTTAACCCCCCCACAGCCCCCCCCACACACACCCCCCCCCCCCCGTGTGTTTATTCTCCTCCGGGTCGATACGCGCCGCTCACATTCCCCGCGTGCGTTGTGTGCACCGCGGGGTTCGTGGTGCTGGCCACACCACCCCGCTCCGTGTGTCGTGGCTCCTCTCAGTCTCGCGTGAGGCTATACGGGGGACCTTTGTCTGCGTGTGAACTCACAGATGCCGTGGTGTAGTGGTCAGCACGCTTGTGCTAGCAACCCCAGTTCGATTCCTGTGCACGGCCACCAACACATTCGACGATAATCTGAACCGGTCCTGGGCCTCCCCTATGTCGATGGGGCCTCAAATGAGTACCTGGTGCAATGTGGAAATATCGCCACGGGGGAGACAAAGGCGGCCGCGGGTGATTTTGCCCATCCAACCCCTCGTGTGCTGTTCCACCCTTCATAGCACTTGCCCCTTACGCCCGTGCAGGCTACACGGGGGATCTTTGTTTTGTCCGCGTGCACACTCCAGGTCTGGTGTAATCAGCCGCGCACTCAGAGCACAAAACGCTCTCAACACGAACTCCCAAAGTCATTCCCCTCTCTCGCTAACGACTCACTCGGGAGGCCCGCACGCACGCACGCACGCTCGCTCGCTTCTCTCACTTCTCTCACTCGCGCTTCGTCTGCCAAAAACTCGGCACGGACCTCTCCCAACATTCCCTGAGCGCGAACTCTAACCCAGAGACAGCACCACACTCGCAACAGCCTCGCTCACCGCACTTGCTTACCTCACCCCCAACTCGCTACCACCGCCGATGTTGACACGGACCCCCAAAGCCCCTGCTTCGTTCACTCACCCAGCCCCTGCTTCACTCACCCAGCCTCTGCTTCACTCATTCACCAAGCCCCTGCTTCATTCACCCAGCCCCTGCTTCACTCACCCAGCCCCTGCTTCACTCACCCAGCCCCTGCTTCACTCACCCAGCCCCTGCTTCACTCACTCACCCAGCCCCTGCTTCACTCACTCACCCAGCTCCTGCTTCACTCACCCAGCCCCTGCTTCACCTCACTCACCCAGCCCCTGCTTCACTCACTCACCCAGCCCCTGCTTCACTCACTCACCCAGCCCCTGCTTCACCTCACTCACCCAGCCCCTGCTTCACCTCACTCACCCAGCCCCTCCTTCACTCACCCAGCCCCTGCTTCACCTCACTCACCCAGCCCCTGCTTCACCTCACTCACCCAGCCTCTGCTTCACTCATTCACCCAGCCCCTGCTTCATTCACCCAGCCCCTGCTTCACTCACCCAGCCCCTGCTTCACTCACCCAGCCCCTGCTTCACTCACCCAGCCCCTGCTTCACTCACCCAGCCCCTGCTTCACTCACCCAGCCCCTGCTCACTCACTCACCCAGCCCCTGCTTCACTCACTCACCCAGCCCCTGCTTCACTCACTCACCAGCCCCTGCTTCATTCACCCAGCCCCTGCTTCACTCACCCAGCCCCTGCTTCACTCACCCAGCCCCTGCTTCACTCACCCAGTCCCTGCTTCACTCACCCAGCCCCTGCTTCACTCACCCAGCCCCTGCTTCACTCACCCAGCCCCTGCTTCACTCACCCAGCCCCTGCTCACTCACTCACCCAGCCCCTGCTTCACTCACTCACCCAGCCCCTGCTTCATTCACCCAGCCCCTGCTCACTCACTCACCCAGCCCCTGCTTCACTCACCCAGCCCCTGCTTCACTCACCCAGCCCTTGCTTCACTCACTCACCCAGCCCCTGCTTCACTCACTCACCCAGCCCCTGCTTCACTCACTCACCCAGCCCCTGCTTCACTCACCCAGCCCCTGCTTCACTCACCCAGCCCCTGCTTCACTCACTCACCCAGCCCCTGCTTCACTCACTCACCCAGCCCCTGCTTCACTCACCCAGCCCCTCCTTCACTCACTCACCCAGCCCCTGCTTCACTCGCACACCCAGCCCCTGCTTCACTCACTCACCCAGCCCCTGCTTCACTCACTCACCCAGCCCCTGCTTCACTCACTCACCCAGCCCCTGCTTCACCTCACTCACCCAGCCCCTGCTTCACCTCACTCACCCAGCCCCTCCTTCACTCACCCAGCCCCTGCTTCACCTCACTCACCCAGCCCCTGCTTCACCTCACTCACCCAGCCCCTGCTTCACTCACTCACCCAGCCCCTGCTTCACTCATTCACCCAGCCCCTGCTTCATTCACCCAGCCCCTGCTTCACTCACCCAGCCCCTGCTTCACTCACCCAGCCCCTGCTTCACTCATTCACCCAGCCCCTGCTTCACTCATTCACCCAGCCCCTGCTTCACTCAACCAGCCCCTGCTTCACTCACCCAGCCCCTGCTTCACTCACCCAGCCCCTGCTCACTCACTCACCCAGCCCCTGCTCACTCACTCACCCAGCCCCTGCTTCACTCACTCAGCCCCTGCTTCACTCACTCACCCAGCCCCTGCTTCATTCACCCAGTCCCTGCTTCACTCACCCAGCCCCTGCTTCACTCACCCAGCCCCTGCTTCACTCACCCAGCCCCTGCTTCACTCACCCAGCCCCTGCTCACTCACTCACCCAGCCCCTGCTTCACTCACTCACCCAGCCCCTGCTTCATTCACCCAGCCCCTGCTTCACTCACCCAGCCCCTGCTTCACTCACCCAGCCCCTGCTTCACTCACCCAGCCCCTGCTTCACTCACCCAGCCCCTGCTTCACTCACCCAGCCCCTGCTTCACTCACCCAGCCCCTGCTTCACTCACCACCAGCCCTGCTTCATTCCACCCAGCCCCTGCTCACTCACTCACCCAGCCCCTGCTTCACTCACTCACCCAGCCCTGCTTCATTCACCCAGCCCCTGCTCACTCACTCACCCAGCCCCTGCTTCACTCACCCAGCCCCTGCTTCACTCACCCAGCCCTGCTTCACTCACTCACCAGCCCCTGCTTCACTCACTCACCCAGCCCCTGCTTCACTCACTCACCCAGCCCCTGCTTCACTCACTCACCAGCCCCTGCTTCACTCACTCACCCAGCCCCTGCTTCACTCACTCACCCAGCCCCTGCTTCACTCACTCACCCAAGCCCCTGCTTCACTCACACAGCCCTCCTTCACTCACTCACCCAGCCCCTGCTTCACTCGCTCACCCAGCCCCTGCTTCACTCGCTCACCCAGCCCCTGCTTCACTCACTCACCCAGCCCCTGCTTCACTCGCTCACCCAGCCCCTGCTTCACCTCACTCACCCAGCCCCTCCTTCACTCACTCACCCAGCCCCTGCTTCACTCGCTCACCCAGCCCCTGCTTCACTCGCTCACCCAGCCCCTGCTTCACTCACTCACCCAGCCCCTGCTTCACTCACTCACCCAGCCCCTGCTTCACTCACTCACCCAGCCCCTGCTTCACTCACTCACCCAGCCCCTGCTTCACTCACTCACCAGCCCCTGCTTCACTCACTCACCCAGCTCCTGCTTCACTCACCCAGCCCCTGCTTCACCTCACTCACCCAGCCCCTGCTTCACTCACTCACCCAGCCCCTGCTTCACTCACCCAGCCCCTGCTCACTCACCCACCCAGCCCCTGCTCACTCACTCACCCAGCCCCTGCTTCACTCACTCAGCCCCTGCTTCACTCACTCACCCAGCCCCTGCTTCATTCACCCAGTCCCTGCTTCACTCACCCAGCCCCTGCTTCACTCACCCAGCCCCTGCTTCACTCACCCAGCCCCTGCTTCACTCACCCAGCCCCTGCTCCACTCACTCACCCAGCCCCTGCTTCACTCACTCACCCAGCCCCTGCTTCATTCACCCAGCCCCTGCTTCACTCACCCAGCCCCTGCTTCACTCACCCAGCCCCTGCTTCACTCACCCAGCCCTGCTTCACTCACCCAGCCCCTGCTTCACTCACCCAGCCCCTGCTTCACTCACCCAGCCCCTGCTCACTCACTCACCCAGCCCTGCTTCACTCACTCACCCAGCCCCTGCTTCATTCACCCAGCCCCTGCTCACTCACTCACCCAGCCCCTGCTTCACTCACCCAGCCCCTGCTTCACTCACCCAGCCCTTGCTTCACTCACTCACCCAGCCCCTGCTTCACTCACTCACCCAGCCCCTGCTTCACTCACCCAGCCCCTGCTTCACTCACCCAGCCCCTGCTTCACTCACTCACCCAGCCCCTGCTTCACTCACTCACCCAGCCCCTGCTTCACTCACTCACCCAGCCCCTGCTTCACTCACCCAGCCCCTCCTTCACTCACTCACCCAGCCCCTGCTTCACTCGCTCACCCAGCCCCTGCTTCACTCGCTCACCCAGCCCCTGCTTCACTCACTCACCCAGCCCCTGCTTCACTCACTCACCCAGCCCCTGCTTCACTCACTCACCCAGCCCCTGCTTCACTCACTCACCCAGCCCCTGCTTCACTCACTCACCCAGCCCCTGCTTCACTCACTCACCCAGCCCCTGCTTCACTCACTCACCCAGCCCCTGCTTCACTCGCTCACCCAGCCCCTGCTTCACTCACCTTGGTACTGCTGCCCCGGCTCGTACTGTGTTGGATTCCCCGCCACGTGCAGCGACATCAGCAGTTCCCCGGCGTCTCGCGCGCCCTCGGGCTCCCCGCCGTGCGAGCACATGAAGAAGTAGGGCGCCAACACAGGCGCCGGGGACTCACTCTGCCTGGCGATCATCAGCAGGGCCACAGCCCCCAGCAGCCGGGCCCACGGGCCCCCCATGTGTCGGGGCACTCAGTCAGCCAGGCAAAGCCACGCACCCCCCCCCTGCCTCCACCTCCACGGTAGCAGTGGATGGAGACTCGTCTCGCTCACTCGGTGGTCGTTCGTGAAGATGCCGAGGATACGTCGGGGTGTTGGGGGTGAGTGGCGGAGTAGGAGGAGGAGAGACTCGGGTGGTTGAGGAAGGTGGAGGTTGTCCGTGGAGAGTGTGGGGAGGGGGAGAGGATGGCCAGTGTGAGCTTCACGCTACCGCTGCCCGTAAAATCTCAGCCAATAACAGAAACCTGCAGTTCTCTCTCTCGCTCCACACACACAAATACAGCAATAGGCAAACAGACACAGACACAAATATCCCCTGTGTAGCCTAAATATACTGTAGGGGCAAGTGTCGTTAGCAAACACTCGTGAAGGCCGGTACACGAGGTACTCATTTGAGGCTGAGACGACCTAGGGGAGGCCCGGGACCGATTCAGATAATCGTCACTGGAGCTCACTATGAGCGGGAATAGAACTAGGGTCTCCGGGTTCGTAGTAGCGCAGCACGCGAACCGATACACTACCGCTCCCTGCGCACACACAGACAGACACGCACACACACACAGACACACGCACACACAGACAGACACGCACACACAGACAGACACGCACACAGACAGACACGCACACACAGACAGACACGCACACACAAGACAGACACGCACACACAGACAGACACGCACACACAGACAGACACGCACGTGTCGCCCCCACACGTGGATTGGGCGGTATGGGTCGGGGTCCCTCCGGTCAGCTGGATCATCGCCTGCCCCGCACTGCGCGTGGGGCTCACGGGGCCAGGAGCGTTCACTCTGCTCTCCGCCCAGCCGCCCTGCCAGCCAGCACCCTGCACTCACCCTGTACCCATCCTCCAATGCTATACTCATCCACCCACTCACTCGCCCACTCACCTGTCCTGCCACAGGTAGGCACCCATTGCCACTAAATGTACATATTGGGTGGGGACCTGGTTCCACAATAGAAACCTGGTGACTCCAAAAACAACAAAACTTTCACAAAACTATTTAAAAACTATTCTACAAGGTCAGGTTTCGAGTGGCAATGTCGTATACGAAATATAGCAACAAACCCAACCACTATTTCACTCACCCACCCAGCTCTCACCCACTCAGCTCTCACTCACCCACTCACTCAACAAACCTGCACCTGCTCAGCCACCAGGCACGAACTCTCCCTCACAGCTCCCCAAACCACTCACCCCGCCACTCGCTCACTCGCCCAGCATCCGCTCACCCAGTCGGCACTCACTCATCCCACCATCTCCCCCCTCCCCCAGTGTTGTTCTTGTTTGACTGTGGGACATTGCCCCTCCCCACGTGTTTGCATTGTCCACGAGTAATTATTAACGCTCCCATCCAATAGAGCGGCAACGTTACATCTGTACTGTCCATGTGGACACACAAACGCGCACGCTTTTTGATTAATTAATGTAACTAATTTATCCAGGAAAGCAAGCAACACCAAGTCGATTTTAGGAGGGCCCTGCTACTGCATTCGAGTGTTTTGTTATCAAGATTAATTAATTCAATTATTTACAAACGGGTTTGTTAATATACCACGTGGGTTGAAAGCGGAAAACTCGGAGAAACCACACGGCTTGCGCGAGGGGAAAACGCTCAATCCCCGTACAGACGGATACAGATGGAGATTAGTCCACATGCTGTATCGCCTTCTCCTGGCCAGGCAGGGTACGGCACCATCTCGACGCCCACGGGAAGGGAGTTTCACAGCCCATCTGTGTGTGATCCGCCAACCCTCGCTGCTGCCTCCACAGCGCTGGGTTCGTGGCTCGTGCCTCAAACGACGACATCATTGTCCACGACATCACTGCCATCGTTGGCGACAATCATTTCAGCGTGCACCCATCACTGCAGGGATGCACTGAGTGCAGTGATGCAACAATTAATTGATTACTTCATTGATTAATCGACTTGATGTATTAATCGATTAATATCGAGGGGAGAGGGACGGCGGGGAGGGGTTCGCATGGGGACGGGGGGAGGGAGGAGGGGCGGGAGCCCACACAATATCAAGCTTATTGGACAGGGCCCTATATAATTGATAATAAATCAATGTATTTCCTCTGCGAGACTCAATAAACTACAAATGTTTGGCGTCACGAGGGATCCCACAGTGTCCCGTTCCTGCCCGCGTCTCGCCCCGTGCAGCCGCTCACGTCTCAGTGACGGGACAGCGGCGAGCAACCAGGCATCTCGCGGAGATGTTCCCCCCGGGTAAAATCAATTTCTCTTCGCCGCGTTCTCCCGCGGAGTTTAGCGACCATCCCAAAGGGATTTTTTTTTATTCTGGCAAAAATTTCCTTTGTTTATCAGGTGTATGATTTTTAAACTGGGGCTCGCGTCACCCGTCGTGCTATTGCATATCGTAGACCGAATGAGAAGTACCCGGAGCGAATGAGCCAAAATGATCTGAGGTTTGCATCATACGGTATTGATATTCGAAAAAAAAAATTTGTTCGCTGGCTGGCTGGCTGCCTGGCGGGAGGGACGGACGGTCGGTCACGTCCAAGGAACGCGTGGGCTGCTGCTTGGTCTGAGTTTGAGCTGCGACCCCCTCATCTACATGCCCCCTTACACACTCACCCCTCGCCCCCCTATCAGCTCCTCATCCCATAATCCTGTCTCATTCCCTAAACCCTCCACCTCCTCAACCCCTCATTAACCTCACCCTCTGATTCCCTCATCCCCTTGCCTTATCCCCTCGTTCCCACATCCTATCCTCACCTCCTCATCCCATGTCTTCACCCCCTCAATCCTTCATCTCTTTATCCCCTCGTCCCCATATCCCAACCCCACACCCCCAACTCTTCGCCGCCAGTGCAGGGTTTGTGTGTTGAGCAAACACAGGGGACACGGGGGGAGGGGCACGGGGTAGTGGGGAGGGGCACGGGGTGGGGGGGAGGGGTACGGGGGCGACACGGGGTGGTAGGGATTGCGACACGGGGTGGGGGGGGCGACACGGGGTGGGGAGGGGGCGACACGGGGTGGGGAGGGGGCGACACGGGGTGGTGGGGGGGGGCGACACGGGGTGGTGGGGGGGGCGACACGGGGTGGGGAGGGGGCGACACGGGGTGGGGAGGGGGCGACACGGGGTGGTGGGGGGGGGCGACACGGGGTGGTGGGGGGGGGCGACACGGGGTGGTGGGGGGGGCGACACGGGGTGGGGAGGGGGCGACACGGGGTGGGGAGGGGGCGACACGGGGTGGTGGGGGGGGCGACACAGGGTGGGGGCGCTGTAAACAAAGACAAAGTTTTTGTAAAGCCTTTAACAGACTGTTGGGGCAAGTGCTATCAGCGAGCAGCACCTATGAAGCCCGGCACGGCACACGAAGGGGTGGGTGGCCAACTCCACATCCGGCCGTATGTCTCCCCAGTGCTGAAGTTTACACACATCCACAAAATTACTAATTTAATGCTGAATCGATCTTTGGGAGGCACTGAACCGGTTCACAACATCGAACTCGCCACTAATGTCTGCCGTGACGAAGAATCAAACTCGGGTGGCCAGGTTCGTAACCACTGCGCCGCAGCTCGTCACACATACACGACACACACCACACTCACCAACGCATTGACTCGCCAATTCACTCACCATTGTCTCGTATGCGCGTGTTTGTTTCCATCTGCCAGTCATGGCACCCGAGTCTGTCTCGTGACCTCCTTTCTACCAGCGATCCTTCGACACTTCACTTGGCCTCAAAGTGCACCTAGCCTGGCACAGGCGTCGTGGTGACGTCACCGCCACCTGGTGTTGTTTGTTTACATGCGTGACTGTCGCGTCCGTTGTTTGGATCCAGGCTGACACGTGCTGGCAATTTTCAATGAGCACGTGCTTGGAGTAGAAACGTGTGTTTAAAGCCCTATGTATCTTATCTATGCAGGGTTATGAATGAAGAGTGAATGAAGAGTGAATGAATACACGCATAACCGAATGTATGTATCAATGAGTAAGTGTATGAGTGAATGAAATTACTGAGAATGAAGTGTAATTATGAGGACTGAATGAGAACATGCATGTCGGATAATTAGTGAGCGAGTTAGCCAATTAACGAATAAATTGGTGAATGAATAAAGGAACGAGTGAAATTGTTAAGTGAATGATTGAGCGACTGAATTATTGAGAAAATGCGTGAATTAAATCGACGAATGAATGAACAAATGAATCAACGCGGAACTTTGTGAATGAGTCATTCAGTAACGTGGAGCTTCATTGCCGTCGGCGTGAGGTCAGCGTGTAATCGTCTTCTGAACGAGGGGAAACAGCAGCGTTGGCCAGGGGGGGTGGAGGCGGGAAGGGGGGGGGTTCGAATGCTCGGGAGGGGGGCGATTGGGGGCCTCATTAATCACAGAGAGAACCCCGCGACCGGGGGTTTAACTCCCGGGTGATCCAAATCGACTCCCTCACTCTCGAGCCTTCCTCGTTCGTGAGGCGCACGTATTCCTCGCATCCCCCCAAGCAGGCCGCTTGCCTCCCCATCTACCCCCTTACTCACTAGCCCCCCCCCCCCCCTTTCCATCTTCAATACCCCCTGCATCCCCTTTGCTTCCCCTATGCCCCCCTCCTCCCCCAGTGCATCTCCCTTACTTCCTCTGGAATCCCCATGCACCCCCTGTGCATTCCCTTCACACCCCCTCACCTCCCCTCTTGCAACCCCGCATCTCCCCTATACCCCCACCCTCCTATACCCCCCCCCCCCACCCTGCTTGCATCATCCCCGTGGCCAGAAGCCCCTTGAGTGCCAATCTCCGGCCCCCTCGCGACTCCGCGCTTGGCGCTGGAGTCTCCTCGATGGGCACTCGGCAGCCCCAGTCGCGGGCGCCCCGCGTCTTCCGGGAGAATTCGAACAGGAATTCGTGTATGGAAGCAATAAAGGCGTTATTAATGACGGGGAGAGCGCACGCAGGATAGAGAGAGGGGGGTGGGAGGCAGAGAGCGAGCGAGCGTGCGGGGCGCGCACCCAGCTTTGACTCCCCGCCGTGCCACCTACGGCCACGTGTGGTTTACAGAGTACGTCTTTTGAAACGATTTGGATTTATTGGCGGTGACGGTGTCGGGGGGGCTGTGCCCCCCCCCCCCCCCTTGACTTTTAGAAAGTTGGGGGAAGCGGCCAGTAGCCGCATGTTGTAGCCAATAAAGTTGCATTCTTCTTGGGTCCCCCACCACCACCGCCGCCCAGCCAATTGCGAAAATCACTCCCACGCGACTGCAGCGGAACGCATCGACAACACGCGAGCCGAGCCGAGCGAGCGGCCCAAAACGATTCAGTGCGTGAATGAGTGGAGCGAACGAACACATTGGGAGGTTGAGCGAATGGACGGATTGGTGGGCCAACCTCGCTGGTGAACGAGTCGATGAGTGAACACGTGTGTAAATTAATCCTATTGAACATCTGTGAGAATTAGCTCGTCGGATTCCTCCAGTCTAAATGATTCTGATTCTGGATCGGTGAATCTTGCGTTAGCACAAGCATGGCTATTGGAACCGAAACGCAGCATATTCATCAATTACGCTGTGGGCCTTAAAGGTAGACAATAATAGACGTTTCTGAAAATGTCCCTTTTTTGTTTTCTATGAAGACCCGTCGCTTTAAACGTCATTAACGAATGTGTAGCCAACACTGTTGTAGAATCACCACTTGGGGGCAGTGACTGGGCCCTCGACGTTGGTCGTGGGAGTGGTGACCGCCAGGAGGCCGCACAGCGACCCCTAGCGACCCCTCGCGACCCCTAGCGACCCCTAGCGACCCCTCGCGACCCCTAGCGACCCCTAGCGACCCCTCGCGACCCCTCGTGACCCCTAGCGACCCCTCGTGACCCCTAGCGACCCCTAGCGACCCCTAGCGACCCCTCGTGACCCCTAGCGACCCCTAGCGACCCCTCGTGACCCCTAGCGACCCCTCGCGACCCCTCGCGACCCCTCGCGACCCCTAGCGACCCCTCGCGACCCCTAGCGACCCCTCGCGACCCCTAGCGACCCCTCGCGACCCCTAGCGACCCCTCGCGACCCCTAGCGACCCCTCGCGACCCCTAGCGACCCCTAGCGACCCCTCGCGACCCCTCGCGACCCCTAGCGACCCCTAGCGACCCCTCGCGACCCCTCGCGACCCCTAGCGACCCCTCGCGACCCCTCGCGACCCCTAGCGACCCCTCGCGACCCCTAGCGACCCCTCGCGACCCCTAGCGACCCCTAGCGACCCCTCGCGACCCCTAGCGACCCCTCGCGACCCCTAGCGACCCCTCGCGACCCCTAGCGACCCCTCGCGACCCCTAGCGACCCCTCGCGACCCCTAGCGACCCCTAGCGACCCCTCGCGACCCCTAGCGCCCCCTAGCGACCCCTCGCGACCCCTAGCGACCCCTAGCGACCCCTCGCGACCCCTAGCGACCCCTAGCGACCCCTCGCGACCCCTAGCGACCCCTAGCGACCCCTCGCGACCCCTCGCGACCCCTAGCGACCCCTAGCGACCCCTCGCGACCCCTAGCGACCCCTAGCGACCCCTCGCGACCCCTAGCGACCCCTCGCGACCCCTAGCGACCCCTAGCGACCCCCTCGCGACCCCTAGCGACCCCTCGCGACCCCTCGCGACCCCTCGCGACCCCTAGCGACCCCTCGCGACCCCTAGCGACCCCTAGCGACCCCTAGCGACCCCTCGCGACCCCTCGTGACCCCTAGCGACCCCTAGCGACCCCTCGCGACCCCTAGCGACTCCTCGCGACCCCTAGCGACCCCTCGTGACCCCTAGCGACCCCTCGCGACCCCTAGCGACCCCTCGCGACCCCTAGCGACCCCTCGTG